TGGTGATTTATACATAAATTTCATGTCTAAAAATGAAGACAGATAACTATTTTGTTGATTTTGAGGAATATGGGTACAATCCTCAATAGTATGTTGTTTACAAATATAATCGCTCTGATTCGACTCCCTCAATTACTTTAGAGGCTTAGTTAATGGAGTTCACGAGGAACCAATTTCAGTTAGTCAAGTTAAGAGTCAAACATAAAATCATATCTTATTGAATAATTTGATTGAACGGAGTGAAGTACACAACTTGTGTTGTGGCAAGATCTGATTGAGAGGCTTCAAAACCATGATCTTGAATGGAATGTGTAGTATCCTCTCCAAATCTTCGAATTAAAAGAAAATTTTAGGGCTTGGCAAACTTAATCTCGAAGGGGTTTTGTTGGCTGAACAGATCAGTTCACAACCCAGAAATCTGTTTCTGATTTTTTGTTTTTTTTTCTTTTTATTTTGCTGGGAATTTTAACTGATCAAGAGCTATTTTTGACCTTGATCATTGATCAATCAAATGCAAATCAAGCAATCACTACCCAAAGGAAACAAGAAAAAAAATACAATTGAAAAAAGGACGAGTAACAAAGAATCAACGGTAAAGACAATAATTATTAGGCTAACTACTAATCCCAAGCATCAAAAACTGGAGTCGAAAGAAAAGGGTAAAAATATTTCTGGTTCTTAAATTACTGTTTTGTGTCAGTTTAATTTTCAATCTTTTAATTGCGTAAATTTTAAACCTCAAGTTTTCAATTTATATCACTTTGATCCAAACGAAAATAGTAGTTTAAATTAACTAACGGAGATGTTCAAATCACCACCCTTAAGAGGTCACTTTAGTACCTTAAATTTGTAACTTGTATCATTTCGGTCCTTTAAATTTACAGTTTCTATCACATTAGGCCCTAAAACTTTTAAAGAATGCGCATTAAGTGTGATCACTTGGCTTGTCAAAATTCGACATCACAGAATTAACCGACATGAATTAAGTAAGTTTGGGTGAGATCTTAACGGATTTGAGTAGTAAACGGATTAACCTGTCAGACACGTTTAACAAATGGGTCGTGTTCGGATGATACTTATTAAACTGTTTATCACACGTTTACTCGTTTAAATAAAATTAATATAATAATAAAATAATAATTATTTTAAAAAATTAGCCAGAAAAAGAAAGTAAAGTAGTAGTCCAAAGATAAAGGAAGAGAAATAAGAGTAGTTCATGACAAAGACAAACCAACCTCTTTTGTTTTTGTCCCACATCAGCAAATGAGGGGAGATGGAGAGGGTTACTTTGCCTATAAAAAACAATGGTCACGTGTCTTTTTTTTTAACCTTCAAACCTGATTTTTATGTGAAATTTAGTTAGAAATTTCTCTTTTTTGTGATAAATATAATTGACAATAAAAAAAATGGTGTATTAAAATTTGTTGATATAACTTTTTTTAAAATTAAACATTTTAAACGAGTCGTGTAGTGTTACTCGTTTATTAAACTGGTCGTGTGCGTGCAAATTTTTTTTTATCCATTTATTAAACGTATCTTGTAAAAGTTTTTATGTTTTTCATCTGTCATCTGTTTAACCTGACATATTTAACACCCTTAATGATCACGTTAGATGCACATGACGATTTGTGTTAGTAATTCCAACTGCCTTTTTTTATTAAATCAAAATGGCTTAAATTGAGAAGTTGAAGAATCAAATTGACACAATTAAAAGATTGCAGACCAAACTGACACAAAATATATAGTTTTGGGACCAAAAATGTATTATATCCTAAAAAAGAAAAATGGTGAGAAAAACCCGACTCCACTGGGGATCGAACCCAGAATCTCTGGTTTCGTAGACCAGCGCCTTATCCATTGGGCCATGGAGTCTAACGGACTACTTGTGTAGCAGGCTCCAAAATATATTTATAAACAATACATATTTATCGAACTAATTTTTCTACCCTTGAGCCTGGATCTTCACTGGAAATTGCATTCTTTAAAGAATAATACCTGTACTATTGAAATACACATAATTTTGCTCGATAAAGAACACAGTGATATTTTTTCCTTTGTTCTTTTTCCCCCCCCCCCCCCCCCTCAATGGTTAGGATGTTCAGATCAGCTTATGTGCACTTCAATTAATTCTCTTTTCAGTCAAATCATCAACGTTGAGATTAGACTATTCATAGATTGATCATATAGAATTGTTAAAATTTAAACTCATAATATCTTAATTTACAATTTGTTCTGTTAATACTGAGTAACCCTTGAGGTTATTTTTTTCCTTTTTTTGACAATGACGCATTGTTTCAATATAAACATTGAATGCACATAATCACACGCTTGAGTAACATTTTCTGCATGATAAAATAAGTCAATATTGGCTACACAACCAAATATTCCTCCTCTTTGTTATTTAAAATAGGCTCCATTATGAATTGATAGGGGAATCACTAGTATTTCAATTTTTGGTCAAGTTATAACACCAAAAAATTAAGTTAGTACAAAAGAAGTTGTGGTTTACTTTAAATTATTAGAATCAATTCCAAATAATTTTATTTCTATTGCAAGTTTTAGATGCAACTAAATAACTATTCTGATGGAGCTGACGACTTCTTCTTAACGAGCGAGACATTTAAGGTGCTCCCCATGAGGCTCGGTCAAAGGATGAGGTGAGGGCTGACTCTTTCCAAGGCGGCGAGGGTGAGGCTCCTAGATACCTTCTTAATGACGTAACCAAGCTAGTGTAGCTCCCTGATGAGCTTGATTGGACTTGGATCTCATTGGACTTGATGAGTCTTTATAAGCTTGGGCCCTTGATCATGACTGGGCTTCCAACATGGGTTTGGGTTTTTTGGGCTTGGTTGACCAATGTTAATCGTCTTGAATTTTGTGTAAAGTAATTATGAGAGAGAGAGAGAGAGTAAAAAATTACCTTCGACAAACAGAGGCAGAAAGAGGCGGTGTGGTCAACGATAGTGGCAACGTCTTTGAAGATAGAAGCAGGTGAGACCAGAACTTGTTCATCGAAAGAATCTTTTGAGTTTGAATAAGATAAAAAATTACTATTAAAAATTTAATATAGATTTTAAGTTTCTCTCAATTTTGGGTAGAGAATAAGTTTTGCCTTGATGATATGATATAAATTTGAGTTTAAGGTTGGAGAAATTTTTTGAGTCATTTTGATTCAAATTTAAATTTGAATTATAGTTAAAGATGCTCTTAAACCTTGAATGAAAATGTCGAGTACTTCTTCTAATAAATGTCGTTGATAGAGATGACGTATAGAACTGAGAGATTTGACTTTAATCTTCGACTTGAATTTTTCCCGTAAAATTACACTTTTTTCTATCTCTTTTTTTCTTGTAAGATTTTCAATATCATCATTCATTAATCTTTAACCCTAATGTTTGTCATCTATGAATATAGGTAGGCAATGACAGACAGTGTTCATGTGATATAATTCACTGTCACTTCGCTATCATATTTTCTGAATTTTTTAGTCAAATAAACATATTAAAAACGCCGGAGAAAAACCTCCAAGAAAACTCTGCACATGCCAACTCATATGCCATCCACTTACGTCTAGTTGGTTAAAGGAGATTCAGAATCCTATAATTGGCAAAGAAAGCAACAAAAGCAGCCCATGTCAGCCAAGTGACTCCCTAAATCCCAATACACCGATATCGAGCTAAGTTTTATGAATTTCAAACTAAGTTTGTTAAACTCATTTTTTTTAAATGAATTTAAAAAATGAGTAATGTTATATAATTCAAATTTATAATTTAAATTTGTATCCCAAATGAAGGGATTATTGGATTAATAGATTCCCTTTTAAAAGAGTTGATGTAACCTATTTATTCGATGGTCTTCTTTATCTGAGAGACAAATTTGGATTATAAATTTGGGTTACGTAATATTTTTCTTAAAAAACTATTCAAGTTTAACTTATTTTAAAAATTAGTCAACTCCGAGTCCAACATGAATAGCTTAACTATTTTATATATAAATGAGTCAAACTTTTTTAGGCTTGTTTTTTTAAATGAGACTAAAAATTGTTTGAGTCTGATACAAGTGAATTCGAGCCAAATCCGAGCAATTTGGTTCGCTTATTAGCCTTAAATACCAATTTTAACTAACTGCTTTTTACAAGTCTTAAGTTATAACCATAATTTAAATTCGTTAATCAGTGGGTTAATACGAACTTAGTTACCCACTATATATGCTGAGAAATCACAAGTGAAAACCCTCATGAAGTAGGAATGAAAACTCACATTGTAATTTATGGTAGTCTATGTTAAAAATCGTTGGTTGTCTAACCATTAATTTCAATTAATATACCATGAATATATTTATTGAAAATCTGTCAAGAAACAAATAGGTCGTATCTAATAGTCGTGAGTCATAATCTTTTATATAGATTTGATTATACATATTTGTGTTAGACGATTTAACCAAATAATAATATTATATTGACTGAGGTTGTTATCGAAAATTTTATACCAAATTATTGTAGATAGCCTTTTTTTTTTTGGTTATGTATAATAAGAAAAGAGAATGACGAAATTTGAATTTGTAACATTAAAATGTAGTAGGCGGATTGATAATCATTACACCAACTTTTAATCTCCACAATTAGTATAGATCATCCAATAACTACTCTGTCACAACATTTAGAATTTATAATTGTTTAGAATTTTAATAACTACAACATTATTATTAAACAAAATTCCGAAACTTACACGGCAGAGACTCATGCTGAAAATGCTTTTTTGAGCGTGACAGAGACACTTTTGTAAATTCTGCTCAGCACATTTGCTTATGATGACAAATGCTATAAAGCAACCACGTGAAAGATGGATTGACTCTTTGTCCTTTACCTCTGTCTTTCTATCTATCTCTCAGCTTTATTCTATATATCATTGCACTGTTCTTGTTTCTGGGCCTTTCCCATTTTTCTCTCTCCTATGGAGTCTCATTGCCGGAGTATTCTTCTTACTCTACTCTTATTTTCAATGGGTTTGGTTCAAAACCAAGTGTATGCCACGAACCCATGTAATTTTCCGGCGATATTCAACTTTGGAGACTCAAATTCCGACACAGGTGGGTTGTCGGCAGCTTTTGGTCAGGCCCCTCCACCCAATGGGGAGTCATTTTTCCGTGGACCTGCCGGCCGGTACTCCGATGGCCGCCTTGTTATTGATTTTATAGGTATGAACTCTTCTTCTATTCTCTTGCCGACAAATGTTTTTCAGAACTACCACTTTGCCTGGGGAAAAAAAAAATGTGGAATGATATCATGCAGTTTTTAGAACTTTAGAAGCATCATCTATTTTGCATGTATTTCCTGTTAAAGCTAGCACTGGATCCACTTGTTTCAACTATTCTACTCTAGGGTAATGCTAAGGTGCCCCCAAAAAATAATAATTCGGTAACGAATTGAAAATTATTATTTTTTGAGGATAAGTTATATAGATAATTCATGATTGGTTATGAAAATATTGTAATCGATCATTAATGTACACAAAATTACAAGGCTCTCTACGCTCTTATATTCTATCTGAATTGGCAATGACTTCGACTTATTTATTCATATTTATTTTCTTGATCTATAATTTCTAAGTTAAGTTAATTTTAATATAATTAGTTACATAATTTATTTGTTTTACAAGTTATTTTTCACTTTAAATAGACTCATTAAAAGATATGAATTTAAATATTTAGAAATAAAAATAAAAATAAATAAATTTTTCATCTAAAAACAATTTAAGACTCTATCTATAATTTTTGCCAAGGTCCTCAAGTGTTATTGGCTGCTTGCTCTTAAAGTTATAATTTTATCTTTAAAAATTGTAATTTTCATGATTGATTCTAATATTTTTGAATCGATTATGCCTTTCACAATTGTAATTTTTACCTTAAAAAAGTATAACTTGACCTTAAAAAGGTCTAATATTTCCGTGCTAGTTTTGTGGTCTGATTGAAATCAGACCACATCGAAAATGCTTTGGTTGCTTAATCTTATTCACTTGATTTCAGATAAATGCAGGATGTTTTTACACTTCGAGAAGCTTAGGATGTGTTCTTACAAAAATATTGGCTAGAATGCGATTTCTCAAATTTCTTGGAGTGATAGAACAAACTATGGCTGTATTGCATATAGATGATTGTATGATTTAAGATTATTGGAGTGCTGGAATGACCATAGAAAAATGCAAACTTGAACAATAAAACAAAGATTATTCAATGATTTAACAGAAATAATGGGGCCGTCCTGTATAAATGTCTCCCCATCCACCAACAGTTGGGTCCCCTTATGGATGGATCAACCTGATTGAGATTGCTTTTGTGTTTGGTATTTCCTATTCTATGGTAAAAATGTTAATTGGGCATCATTTCTGGTGTACACTGGAGTCTGCACTGATATATTGTCACCAACCAGGGTCCAGGTCAGGCCGCTAGTTTAGTAATCTAATAAATTTGAACAATCGGAGGAGATTAGCATTATCACTTGGCAAGGATGGCATGCACAAATCAAGAAATAGTTTAGCTATTGCCTAGGTTCTTGTTCTTTTGTTTTCTGATTGTGCAACCTTGCCTGCTCCACAATGGCACTAGGTGTTGACAACTGATGCTTACATGACAACTTGAACTTTGGATTGCAGCGGAGAGCCTTGGACTACCATATCTGAGTGCTTACCTTGATGCGGTAGGATCCAACTTCACACATGGTGCCAATTTTGCCACTGCAGGATCAACCATTAGACCCAGAATACAACCCTCCATCAGAGCGGTTTTAGTCCATTTTCTTTGAATGTACAATATTATCAATTCAATGACTTTCATCATAGGTCTCAGATTTTTCGTAGCCGAGGTAATCCCAAAGATACTACTCTTTCCATGTTATGGAATTGTCAATCTGACAAGATGGCAACGTCTAATTAAAAAGCAGGTAGCAATCTCAAAGTGTTCTTGGTATGACCATTTTAAGCAGGAGGAGTATTTGAGGGATTATTGCCGAAGGCAGAAGATATCTCTCGTGCTCTGTATACATTTGATATTGGCCAAAACGATTTAACTGCTGGTTACTTCCTTAACATGTCGACAGATCAAGTCAGAGCATATGTTCCTGATGTTATAGATCAGTTCAAAACCATTATTAAGGTGAGTGATATGTGCAATAAAAATTAGATGCCCCATCGTCTATAGATAAGAAAATTGACTGTAATACGGTTGTTTTACACAGTTTATATATGATCAAGGAGGTAGATCGTTTTGGATACACAATACGGGTCCAGTTGGGTGCCTACCATACATCATGGACCATCTGCTCATCACGGCTGGGCAAATTGACAAGGTAGGATGTGCAAGTCCTTTCAACGATGTGGCCAAATATTTCAATCTCAGATTGAAGAAAGCAGTGATCCAACTTCGGAAAGATCTTAAATTTGCAGCTATAACTTATGTTGATGTCTACACAGTGAAGTATGATCTCATCGCTCAAGCTAGGAAGCATGGTACGTCTTCTCCTAAGTTCTTCATATGTGGCGTTTGACTTTTTCATTTGATAGGTTTTGACATAGATGGAGTGAAATTGCAGGATTTGAGCACCCACTTCGAGCTTGTTGTGGCCACGGAGGAAAATACAACTACAACATCCATGTTGGTTGTGGAGGAAAGATTACAGTGAATGGCAAAGAAGTCCTGCTGGGAAAATCATGCAATGATCCATCCGTCATGATCAATTGGGATGGGGTACACAACACACAGGCAGCGAATAAATGGATCTTTGATCGGATTGTTGATGGTTCATACTCAGACCCGCCAATTCCATTGAGAATGGCCTGCCATAGGCAATAAATCCATTGATTCACTGTGTACTAGTTTCACAGGTTATTCTAGTTAGGCGGATGGCCTGCTTTCAGTTGTTTTCGTTCTAGCAAATAATCATTTGTAACCTTTTTTTTGTGCCGGATGGCCCAAAACCCTACTCCTCGCGGAGATTTGAGAGTTGAAACTATACATTTGCACTTGCCTTTCAAATCTTCTCAAGTCTACTGCTAATAGGAAGGCAGATCCATTCCAGTACTATATCCTTTTAATTACACACCATGCATCAAAGTGAGATTACTATATCAATTATTTGATTCACCTGACGTTTAGTGCCCCTATTGTGGGTGATGGGTGGGGTTGTTGGTTTTTTTTTTAAGGGGGGGGGGGGGGGGGAGGGAAGGGGGAGGAATCCAATAGAGTTCCATACCCACTATTGAAAACAGGAGAGTGGTAACAACAGTCACAATAGAAAGTTAATAGAACTCTACATTGGTTTGACAGAATGGTGGTCCAGTGAAACACAAACGAGCCAGTTGCAGAAGAGTGGTCATGGCAGTGATGTTGTGTAAATAAAACTGACCAAAAAGAAAGGGAGATTATGTTTTGTACATTGGCTTTTGAAAAGGATCTGAAAAGTTTAAGCTATTGTTGTGTCTCCTAGATGTCAAATATTAAACCTCATCTTTGTGATGTTGTACAACCATCGGTGCTATACAATGGTTTTTGAATTGGTTTAGATCGATTATCATGACAGTGACGTCATCCAAACTGCCCCTAGCCACAGCAAGGTTTACAAGCTCCTTGCAAGCAGCAACAAGTCGACCGGGAGCTGGTCTCTTCTTATAGCTACTGTTCTCTTGATTTGGAGACTGAGGGTGCACCTTCATCTGGCTTACCAGTGAAACCCTTCGAGCCTTAGGTGGAGGACTTTCGTTTTCATTGCCAAAATCATCTTCATTTCCTGTCTTCCTATAATTAGGGGAGTGAACCATCTTTCTCTTTCGCTTGACTAACATTACTCTTCGTAACTTTGGCGAAGCACTCATACTTATGCAGCCAAATTCATTGTCATTCTCTTTCTCAGGGTCTCCTGTAGGTTCTGGCTTTTTGTCAACTGAACATGTCCCCATTACAATATCAACAGCTTCTTGATTTCCAACCTACGCAAAAAGCCAAGCACATCAAAAACCAGACTCAATCACATCAAATGCTTAAAGTGGAGCATATAAACAAAGCTCCAAGCAAACAAGCTTCCCTGATATCATAAAATGGAGATAGCTACATTAAACTAAGTTTGTGTCAAGCTCCGTTTGCACAAGTCCCAGAAGTGTTTGACAGATTCATGTTATTCAGATATCTTATATAACCAAGCAAATCAGCTAAACATTGATAGGAGCATGGAGAAAGAATATTATGTTAAAAATGATGATTTCTGAATGATCAACATGTAGCAATGTATGTGTGTGGTTTTCATTCTCACCTCCTCCCACAACCCATCAGAAGCTAGGAGAAGATATTCCATGTCTGGAGTCAAATTTAGGATCTTAGTATCAGGCTCAGCCAGTACCCAATCCTTCAAATGAGCATCTCCAATGCTTCTAGAGACAGAAAGTACCCCATGAACTCTCCAAGCTCCCCTATGAATCTCTACATATCCTCCCTGCATCATAACATGAAAAGAAGCCATTAGAATCACTATCAGCTGACCCTGTCACTAACATGCTTTCCAATACTACCATACGTACCATATTCTCTATCCTACTCCGTTCGTCGTCCTGACCTGCTCTGTGATCTACTGTAAGGGCTTCTGCCACCCCACTTCTACAGAGAACTGCCCTGCAATCTCCCAAGTTTGAAATGGCCATCTCTTCTCCTTCAATCAAGGCTGTGACACAGCAAGCACCACTGCCTATGCCCTGCAGTTATTCCCACTAATTAAATCATCATTTCCACATAAAACATGAACTGAGGCCTAACAAGGTTACAAAGGAATCTTATAACATTTCATTAGATTCACTACCCTGACAAGATAAATATAGAAAGCTAGGTTTGACCAGAAACATCATACCTTAAGATCAACAAATATGAAAAGACAAATTTTATAAAGGAACATATGAAAACAGTAAAACATAGAAGGAAGGGACCAATATAAACATGACTTTCTCCGTTAATTAGGCAGCTAAATGAACATGCATTTCTCTACAAAATAAAAGTTCTGGTGATCTTACTAATCAGATTGACACAATAACTTATCTATTTCTTTTTCCATTATGTTATCTATCCTCAAGAATGGCTGCTTGCAATTTCTAGAAAAATGAAAGGACAATTTTTTTGAATGTTCAGCCCCTAACTGCTATATAACTCGAGACCTTCAGAGCGTCCACAATGGTGCCCAATTCCAGTTTGAGTTGAGCAATAAAGTTTCTGAACGATGCTGACACGGCGAATTATAATCCTAGTGTTAATATATCATTCTCTGACTACTAATGATAAATTCTGCAGCTGTTGTTAGTTAAGAACCTGATTCCCAAACAGCGCGATCATTTACAATGCGTATAGTTTTCAATCAAAACTAACAAAAGAAGTTAGATCATACTAGTCATATTAACTACTATTCTAATCTTGGTGGAAAGTTTCATGTCCATATATATATTGAGCATAGACCAAGTCCAAAAAGGTAATCATCAACAGAAAGAACCCAAATTGCCATTACCTGTTTCAAGAATTCCTGGTCTGTTTTTAAGTACCCTGCCTTAACGGCTTCTTCCTTCTCTGTATTCCCTGAACAATTCTTCAAAATTTCAAAAATGTTTGTGTGCAAATTCTCTGCCACATACGCCGCGGCCTTGGAACCCCCATGCCCATCATAAACCCCGAAAAACCCCTACATTCCAAACAATTCAACGATTCTCAATTAGACATTCATTTGGCTCAGCATACCATTTTTCCAAAAAAAAGTGGAAAACATTAATTCAACAGGCAGTTACGGTACCTTGCTGCCATTGGGGAAAGAAACAATCTTGTGGTTATCTTCCATGAATTTTTTCTTGCCTTTAACGGTGGAAACCCCGACTCCAAACCCACTGAAACAGAAGGCCTCTTCTTGACTGGCACAGTCTATGGATGTGACCTTCGTGTCGATACCAATATCACGCAATACCTTTGGGATCTCAATCTTGGGGGGTCTCTTTCGCTTCAAAGAACAAGAAACGGCTGAATCCATTTTAGACCCTGTTTGGTTTTCAGAAGAAAGTGAAAATGAAGTTAAAGGGTCTGGGATGTTGTCATTCATATCTGTTGATCTTAACATGCAGGTTGCCATTGTGTAATTACTGGTCTTTGTGGTGAGGCTGGAGACTGTTTCAAAAGGGTCTGCATGAAGAGAGAGAGAGAGATGGCTATTTTAAAAAGAGGGAAGGAGACTTCAGAGGGGTTCTAACGGCTAGAAATTTGACTGTGTGTGTGTGTGTGGAGTTGGTCTAAAGAGTAGGTCAAAGAACAAATTGCATGGTAATATGTTAATTTGTTAGGGTTTGGGGGTGTCAGATTATGGTAATATGTTTGCTTTTAGATCCGTTAGGCTAATTGGTCAACTTTGAAGCTGTAGTAAAAATTCTATTTTGGAGTCCACAGGAGAAGAACTTTCCAAAAATAACAAAATAGGGGTTGAAGAAAAGAACACAATTAGATCTTGGTCTTTCTAGTTGTTCATTTTGGAAATTTTATCCACATGCACTTTCATCAAAATTAGGTAGGATTAGAAGGTACATCCCCTTGTATGTTAAGGATAAAAACATGGAGAAACCCAGTAATAAAAAATACCAATGAGACGATGGTGGGTTGGTGGAGAAGGAGACGGTGACATGGTGACATTTTTTTTGTTGTTGTTGTTGTAAAGTGTTTATATTTGTGTTGACTAATTTTTAAATTTAGTGGTCGATTACCATGCTTGAGCTGGGTTTGAGTATGTTCCTAATAAGACAAGGGTGACTAGCACTTGGGGGTGTGAAAAAGGATTAAATCTGAAACTTTTGAATTTTTAAAAATTCTGAACTTAACCACTAAACTACTCCTAAGGATTGTGGGGTGGTAGCATTAATGACAATGATGTGTGTAACATAGTGGTGGTAATTGTAGTATATTGGTGATAGGAATAAGATAATTGTGGTGCGATTGTAAAAGAAAATGAATAAAATTAAAATAATAATAATAATAATTTTTATACTTCAACTTCTTGTATTTGTCAAAAAGTTTGATTCAATACTTAAATTTTAATGAATACCAAATAATTACAAATTAATTTTTTTTTTAACAATTAAGTTTTACTTTTATCAAACAATAACTAGTCTACATTTTAAATAATCATCTTTTTTCACAATCCAAGTGGCTAGTTGCACAACAAATAAAATATGTATCTAAATCAAAATAATGACCAAGTATAACCTATATTCAAACACGACTCAAACCACACATGGGTTAATAAGAAATCTATAGTAATTCTAAAAGTGACTTAAAAAGAAAAATTTTTGATTTTCTTATTTGTCCTTCAATAAATCATTCTTATCATTTCACTCACTGATGCCTCATTTTATTAATTTTGGAGAAATTAATTTTTATAAGTTAAAAAAAAAAATTAATATATCAATTTTTTTATCCTTCCTTAACTTTCTATCATTATATTTTTCTATTATACCAAATAAACCATAGACATAGAATAATGTTATTTAAATCTAAAAATTTAATATAATTTGTTAACTTAATGATGCGATTTTATTGAAATCATTTACTACCAAATTTTAATATTTGATAAAATTCACAGCCAATTTAAAGATCATGAAAAATTAGGTCAACAAATTAGTTAAATAAATTGGGATCGCATTGAAACAGCAAACGTCGTCGTTTGCCAACCGAAGAACTTCTTCACCCATTAAAGGAAGTTTCTCCTGCCTGTGTGGAGCATAGCGGACCGATCAGAGTACAATGCTCCTCTCAGCAATTACTCCCCAAACCCCAACCCCGCTCACCAACCCCAACGATCACTACAACTTCCATCTCCTCTTCTTCCACCACCACCACCACTTTCACAAACCACCCCACACCACTCTCTGCAATGTCACTACACACACTTCTACTCTCAACAAACCAGAACCACCACCTCTCACTCTTCTCACCACCGCCAGCTCCAATTATAGTTCTTCGCTGCGTCACGTGAGTACCACGTCCGACTCCGATTACTTCGAGGATGGAGGAGGAGGAGGAGAGGCTGAGGTATCTTCGTCTTCGGCCTCCGCGGCAGCGGTCGCGGAGGCAATACGTAAGGCGTCGAGTTCTCCGGTTGAGTTTGCGCAGAGGATGGAGAAGGATGGGAAGCTTAGTGAAGGATTGATACTTCCGAGTCCGGACTTTCAGAGGCTTTGTCTCGAGCAGTTGGACCTCTTTCGCCGAATTGTCAATCCCGATGCTCTTCTTTCGGTCAGATTTTTTTCTTATTTACATCGATAATTGACTTCTTGTTATGATGATCATGGAGCGAAAGAATTAACAAACACTCAAATGTTAGCTTTCTATTTGTAGTTTGTTTTGCCTTTTTTAATGTGATTTTTTTTAGGTAAATAAGCAAAATTTTTATTTGATATCAGTGAAAGCTTTACAAAGAAAGGGGGAAAGTAACAAAAAAACCCTAATCAGAGATACATTCAGCAAAGCAGAATGATCTAATACAAGCAGGAAAACTTAGTGCCAAAATTTATACCAGAAGGTTTCAGCTCCACACCCCACTCCTCAAACAACAAAACAAGTTTCCAGCAGCTCATTCATCAAACTACCCATTGACACTCCAAATCCCCATAATATGCCTAGCTGTGAAGAACAATTTGAAATCTTCAAAGAGGACAACCTGTATGAAATCATGTCATTAATAACCCACAATGTTGTACAAGGGTCCTTGAAAGAGTTGCAAAACATTCTTGAATTTCTTTCACGCCAAATGTATTACATTGTTGCGGATAAACAAAGCTTTGCAATAGTATTTTGTAATGCATTCCCCCTCCATTTGATAGCAGCTTCATTTACCAACTCACCCAAAGATGTTGACTAAAATATAATATCACACTTTTGTAATACTGCTATCCAAATTTTAGAAGAATAGGAACAACAAAAAAACAAATGATTATGGTCTTCGGGAGCCTCATTGCAGAGTATACATGTGGTATCTATACTCCTATGGAATTCTTGAAGTCTATCTCTAGTTCGGAGTTTCTTTTTAATTGCTAACCATTATATGAAGCTCCACCTTAGGTAAATGATACCAATCAATATTGGGATTATGAGCTCTTGTAGAATGCCATGTTGTATCAACAGATAACTTTTCATTTACAGACGAGGACCACAATATTTGATCTGTTCTTTCATTACAAGGAAGATATAGAGGCATTTCCAATTGAATATTTCTTAAAGCATCAGAGTTAATAAAAGGCCAATACCACTGATCACCTTGAATGATAGAACCAAGTTCCAACCATAAAAGGCCAATACCACTGATCACTTTCTCAAACCATGTAGAAATTAGAGGTCCATGAGGGTGCCAATCATCAAGTCATAGTTTGGTCTTATTTCCATCATCTATGATATGCTTAATAAAAGGTCTGGTAATATTCCTAAGCTTCAGAATCTTCAACAAATACCAAGAACATGTATGGATTTTGTTTCTATGTCAATTTTTTTTTTGGGTCATGTTTCTATGTCGGTTGAAACTTGAAGTTTAACTGCAATATTCACATTTTCCAGTTGTGAATTCGATGCTATATTTTCCTGTATATTGCGTCTCTTTGGTTAAACAGGTACTAGTAGTGTTGCTTTCTGCAAATGGTGAGATAGGTAGCTTACCACAGAATGTAGTTGCTAGATTTTGTGGCATGATGACAACAAATAATAAGTTTCCTTAATTAATATGTAATTTCATTGCTTCACAATATCTTAATGTGCTGCAATATTTCAGCTAATTTGACTAAGACAATATGCAAATAAGAACTGTATAGTGTGAGGTATGAACCAGAAAACCAAGTTGGCTTGTCAAATAAATTACGACGACTAAGTATATTAAGAAGGTTGACTTTGATTTATGGAACTAATTACTTTTATAAAATACTTGCCTTATTTGTTACCATAGTTATTAGTATCGTACGATACGTGCGATATACCTGAAAAATAATACGTACCGTATCTTTGTATCGTTTTTACATCGTATCGTACGATACAAAATACGATACGGCCGATACGTGACGATTTTTTTTTTTTTTGTTTTTGTTTTTTGGGGTTAAAATGACATTGTTTTACCTTAGGACTTATTTTTAAATCACTAACTAGGAAAATAATGTCGTTTTAGTTATTATAGTTTAAAAAAAATAAATAAAGTCTAATATTAATGTTGTTCAATTGAATTTAAAATTTCTGAATCCTGATTAATATTAAAGTTATTCAAGCAGTTGATGTTAAAAGTTTGAATTAGAGGTTTTTGCATTTTGATATTACTGAACTATGTTAGAAACTTGCATAGTTGGTGGAATATTAATGAAATACTATGTTATTATGAGTCTGACTTTTTTATAAAGGTATATACATATATTTTATTAATAATTATTTAAAAATTAAAATTGCGCGTATCTTACGATACACGATACACTATTTTTAAAAAACGATACGCCTTCCGATACACGATTTGACAACTATGTTTGTTACTATTTTGTGGTATTCTGTGTCTGTTTTCGAGTTTTGGTTCGGTGGTTTATGGGCTATGTTTGTGCAGGTCTATGTGAGACCAGCTGGTAGTTATGTTATGGATCGTTTAGAGTTGCGTCGAATTACCTACTATCCAGGTGTGAATGCAGCTGATATTGTGATATTGATCGGTAATTTTAGTGTTCCCACAGGGTTAAGAGCAGCAGAAGCTGCGCTTTCGAATCAGCAGGTGTGATACTTGACTGAGTTCAATTTATTTGTTAGACGTGAAGTTTCACTATTTGGTATTCATGGTAATTATTTGTGGTATTTATTATGGATGTTGATTGGAATTGTAGGCAGAATTTATTCCGGAGTGCAGAGCTGTGGTTTTCCCTCTAGTGAAACATCCATTTGTAGTGGGGTTTTTGGTTGCTGAGCTTCCAGAAATGGAATTGGAAGGAGAAGGGCATGATGTTAAACAATGCCCATTCCCCAACGCTTTTCCCCCGTGTACAAATTCAAAATCGTGGGAAATCCAAACTTCCACTGAAAGCCCAGTGGAAATGTACAAGTTTACTGCTGAACAGAGATTAACTGCTATTAATATTTCTCGCTCCCTTGCAATGGCATATGTTATGGATCAGGTAGATAACTAATATGTATGTTTGTAAAGAAATATTTTATTTTTCAGTGAGCATTGATGAAGGTATCTAAAGCACAAACATTATGACATACTTGTATGACTAATTTAAAAGCGTAAACATAGGTTGAATGCATCTCATCTTTTATTTTTAGGTGTGAAATCGGTTGAAACTGATTTTTTTCCTCTAAACATAATTCTTGTTAAAAGTTGTTGCCTGCAACTCGCATGGTTCATTATTTATGTGTTCCTGATAAATAATAGCATTGTCGAGAACCATACTATTTATATAAGATGAATATACAAAAATATTCTCAATGGGCTATTCACTCATAGGAATTTGCTTCAATGGTGATTGCAGTTAGCTACATGTGTAGGCAGGGCATACCATATGCACTTTCTTCTGCATGTGGTAACCTAAAATAATACAAGTGAGTAGGTGTGTCTTGTGTGAGTGTTGATTTTGTGCCAGCAAAATCAATGGAGTTTTTTTGCTTTGAAAATGGCAACTGTTTGTTGATAGTCTTCAGTATGATGCATATTGGACAGCTTTCACTGGTGTTTATCACGTAACTGTGATATTCATATTAAAACTAGTCTGCTATAGATGTTTGAGGGCTTGATATACATTGCCAGTTGTTATACTTGTATTAGTTTTTCCATACGCGAGAGAGTTATACGTGAGAGTGTGTATGAAAGCTTGATATACTGTTTGGGGCCCAAAGGGCAATTGGTTGTCTAATGCAGTCAAATAAACAAATGCATTTAAATCTCCTTTTGCATTCTCAGTTCCTTTTCATCCTTTTGAATTATGACTAGGGTGTTATATTCCACTACAGAAAGCAATGCTACTCCAGCAATCATCTTGGCAAAATAATGTCAGAATGAGTAATTTGGTTGAGCAAGTAAGGTGTTCTACTTGTGCTTTTTTTTTTTTTTTTTCAAATGTTTCAAATCAAAATGAAAGATTTGTCATGGTTACTTTATTCTATTCATTCTCACAGATTCGTGGCCCTCTTTCTAGCATTCGAACTTTAAGTAAAATGTTGTCTATGCACATGAAAAAGAGTGAGGTGTGTACGTCAAACCGGTAACTTACTCATTGAACTTGTAGCTCCATTTAAAAAAAAAAAAAAACTGTTTAATTTATAACCTACACATGACAGCATGGTTATATCTTACGCAGGTCTCTCATGATATTGTTGAGGATATTTTGGTGCAAGGTGATCGTATTAGAGACACTCTTCAACAACTCCAGGATGCCGTTTACCTGACTAAGGTTCCCTCTCTCTCTCTCTCTCTACACACACACACACACACACAGCATGTGTCTGACATTTTTTTTCTTCTTATTGAGGGATCTTTCAAGTTTTAATGTTGTTTATTATATTGTATGTTTTTTAATTTTATTTTATGTACATAAACATGCATCTTTATTTGAGTTTGTTTCTGTTTTTTTTTTGGGTTATGTTTGGGGCTCACATGGCATTTTTTACTGTCGTGGGTGCAAACCTCAAAGTGGGAAGATGTGGAGGTGGTTAGACTTCTGGATCTCTAAGGTGTGTAATGTTATCTCAGTGGAGATTAGAGGTGAACCTTCTTACAAGAGGCAAGTCCAAAGATGTAATTCTGTGGGCATAGAGCACATGCATGCATTGGTTTGGTGCTTAAGATCTTTCTTGTAAGGAGTTGAACATCAAATGCTTTGTGTAATGTTGTTTCTTCGAGCATTATGCCCTAAAACAATTCCTCTGTCTTTCTTCACTAGTTGTTGTTATTCTAGGAAGCAACACGCACAGAATAAAACATGTTATTGTTATGCTATGTGAGTTGTTTTCCAGGAATATATTTTGTTGCTACTTTAAAATTCAAGTAAATAAAAGCACCGGGGTTTGGATTCATCTGTCAAATCATACTAAATGATAGCTTGCTTAAGGCCACATCTACCCTACAAGATGTTTGATTGTACAGACTGGTTATGCCCTGGATTCGGATTGCATTTGTTTCAATAACTTTCTTTTTCTCAAGATTTTGTAGGAGTTAGTTCATACTTTTCTGCCATTCGTGGGGAGAAAAGTTTGTCAGATATGCACAGCGTCTATGCCCTGATTCTTGTTTTGTTACACGTTAATTTTCCAATAGCGAGGAGGGATATCCTGTCTAAAAATCGTAATTTTATGAATAATGACTATCAGTTCTTACTGATCGTTTCTTAGTGTATGGATTGGAAGCCTTCTTGAGTTTGGTTTCCATAATTTTTACATCGTCTTTTATAGATGAAGGATAACATTAGATGTTAGTATTAAGCTTCTTGATGTTTTCCAGGCCAATATAATACAATATAATGAAGAAACATTGAAGAAAATGCATCACTCAAACATTGCCCATCCTGAGTCAACGAGGTCTCAATTATCCGATAACTTCTCTGGGGAGATTCCTCTTAGTAAGATTGAAGAATCTGGTGGACTTCAATTTTCTCTGACATCAACATCCAAAGATTTAGAAATGCCCATGCCACCTCTGGCTCTTGCACCTATACAACAACAGGGCATCAGGTTGGTTTTTGCCATGCATTGAATCTGTTGTGTTTTCATATTAAGGTGTTTCAGTTAATTTACTCATCCTTAAATCACTGCAAAAGGCTTCTTGGAATTTTAGAGGAGTCTTTTATATTCTTCTTGTTGTTTGGGGATTACCAATATGCATGTTAATTTGTTATGAAGAATTTTGGTATCAGAAGCAGTGGGAATGGAAAGTGCAGCCCAAAATTGTCTGAAATTCATATGGTTTGAGGACAATGTGAGATATATTTTAAGATGATCTTAGAATGAGTTTTGCATTTTTTTTGAAAACAAAGAAACACATAGAATAACATTACGTAGGAAAGTTCTAATTACAATCATTGGATAAGAAAGCCTGAAGCTCGGGGGGAGGACAGCCCACCCAACTCAGCGGAAGTGAGTTAGATAATGTCATAGCTGTGACCCAATGAGCTGCTCTATTGAGAGCCATTGGCTTGTGTAAAAATCTTAAATTAAGAACCTTAGCAACATACCTAATGTCTTCAGAAGAGCTGAGTAGATCATCTCCAGGTTGTCACTTACCACAGTAGCATCCCTTAACTCAGAAGAAGAAGCCAAAAGACAGGCTTGTCTGATAGCAACTGCCTCAAAGGAAAAACTGGATCCAGCCAAGACCCGTTTAGCGATGCCATCCACAATCACGTGAATCATGGAGAATCACCCCAATGGCAGCAGCACCATTCTTGAAGGCACCATCACATCGCAGAACGGGAGCAAGATTTTGGCCAGGAGGATGCTCATGTTGGAGAGGCAAAACCACCGGCTGCACCTCCTGTTTACTCATCCCAGAAAACCGCATATCACACCAGTGTGATTGAGCCCACAGCAGAGTGACCATTGCATTAGGATCTTTATGATGAAACACAAAATTGTTCCTGGAAATCCAAATGGCCCATGCAATTGTAGCCACTCTCCCCATAATCTCCAGTGAGTGGGTAATATTCTTAAGATCATCCAAGAGGGACAAGGCCCATTGAAAGACAGAAACATGAGAATCCAAAAACAATTTCAAACCCAGATCAGACCCAAACCAAACTTTCTTAGCCCACTCACATTCAAACAAAAGATGCTCAACCGTCTCAATATTCTCACCACATATTGGACACCAAGGAGAAGCAGCACATTTTCTCTTTACCAAATTTACACGAGTAGCCAATGCATTATTACACACTTTTCACCAAAAATGCTTAATTTTAGGGGCAGCCACCATATGCCAGACCATATACCAGAATTTTGGATGAGGAGAAAATGACGAACCAGCAAACATATTGGAAGAAGGATCAAGATTGACAGCAAGAGAATAACCAGATCTTACAGAAAAAATACCTCGTGAATTCAATCTCCAAATGCGCCTGTCTTCAGATGGAATCAATGGAATTGAAATAGCCAGAATGGAAGCACTCTCCATCTCATTAAAAAGCCCTCTAACATGCCCAACATTCCACTCCCTAGTTTGAGGAGAGAAAAGCTGATTAACCTAGACAACATCACAGTCCAGGGGTCTAGGGGACCGAACTTTTCCATCATCAAACCGAGGGATCCATTTGTCCTCCCAAATCTTCACCTTGTTACCTCCCAAAACTTGCCAAATAATACCTTTCTCAAGTAAATCCCGTCCTTTTAACAGGCAGTTCCAAACCCAAGAGGGCCTTGCTCCCTTCTTAGCCCTCATGAAGTCACCATCGGGGAAGTGAATAGATTTTATAAACCTTGCCCAAAAGGAGTCAGGATTCTGAATTAACCTCCAGCATTGCTTGGCCAGTAAAGCCTGATTGAACAAGGAGAACTCTTTGAAACCCATCCCCCCTCTTGCTTTTGCTTCAACGATTCTATCCCAACACTTCCAATTAATGCTTCTCTTCTCCCCTCCTCCTCCCCACCAAAATCGCCTCACATATTTGTTAATTTTTTCACAAAAATTCTTAGAGAATGCTGGAATTGACATAGCATAATTTGTAATTGCCTGGATGACTGCCTTAATTAAAACTTCTTTGCCAGCTTGTGACAGAAAAAGACATTTCCACCCTTGTAGCTTCTTCAAGATCCTCTCCAAAAGGTAACCAAACAAATTACTCTTTATTTTGTCATACAAAAAAGGCAAACCCAAATATTTAGTTCCATAGTTGTTAAATCGTGTATTGGAAGACATTTTTTTTAAAAAATAGTGTATCGTTTCTTATCGTGTATCGTAAGATAGGTTCAATTTTAATTTTTAAATAATTATTAATAAAATATACGTATATACCTTTATAAAAAAGTCATAGACTCATAATAACATAGTATTTCATTAATATTCCACCAACTATTCAAGTTTTCAACATAGTTCAGTATTATTAAAATGCAAAGACTTCTAATTTAAGCTTCTAACATCAACTGCTTGAACAACTTTAATATTAATTAAAAATTTTGAATTCAATTGAACAATATTAATATTAGATTTTATTTATTTTTTTAAAACTATAACAACTGAAATGACGTTGTTTCACTAGTTAGTGATTTCAAAATAAGTTCTAAGGTAAAACAATGTCATTTCAAGCTCAAAAAAAAAAAAAAAAACAGAATCGTCACGTATCGTATCGTGCGATACAGTGCAAAAATGATACAGAGACGTGATACGTATCGTTTTTCAGTATCGTGTTGGGCTGTTGTGGAGTCTAGTTTGTATGTGTGATCCGGATGATGACCCGAATAATGCTACGTGATTTTTTAACGAAAATTTTTTTATGGACTTATCAGCCTAAGCCGCAGCGCTCATGGACAAGTCTCGTGGGGGTTCCCCCGAGGAAAATTTTTTGGGCCTGTTTTGTAGTCCGATGCGTAGGACATATAAAAGACCGCTACTTTGGTGATTAGGGTTTTATCGATGTGTATAGCCGTTCTCTGTAATTCTCTCTCTCAATAGTGAAAACCCTGCAGCTTCGTGGACGTAGGCAAATTGTCGAACCACGTAAAATTTTTGTGTCTTGTTCTTTCTTGTTTCTTATTGCTTTATGTTATTGGTTTGTTATTTGATTGTGTGTGTTTGTTTGTAGATTTAAAGCATATTAAATCTCAACATATCGTCACGTACCGTACGATACTAATAATTATGTTTAGTCCCTCTATCCAAAAGATCTAAGCCCATCAAATGACAAAAATGAGATATTTGATCATCCGTCGCGTTTGCAGAGAAAAGAAGACTAGATTTTTGATGGTTTGAACACTGACCAGAGGCAAAGCAGAACTTGTTAAGGATATTCATGGCATAGAAGATTTCTTGGTTCTTGGCTTTAAAGAAGAAAAAAGAATCATCCGCAAAAAATAAGTGTGAAATAGCAGGGTTACCTCTATGTACTTTAACTCCCAAAATTTTCCTTTCAGCCACCCCTTTCTGCAGCATCGAAGACAGGACATCAGCAACCGTAATAAACAGGTACCGGGAGATGGGGTCACCTTGACGGATACCTCTTTGTGGGAAGACATCACATCTAGATTCACCATTAATAATCATACAGAAACTAACAGAACTGACGCATTGAATTATCAAATGCACCCAGCGAGGGTCAAAACCCAGTTTAAGCATCACAGTCTCCAAAAATCTAATTCAACTCTATCGTAAGCTTTACTGATATCTATTTTAACAGTCAAAACTGGGACCTTACCTTTCTTTTTCAATCTCATATGATGGAGAACTTCATTTGCAATAATAATGTTGTCTTGGATTTGCCTATTAGGGACAAATGCTACGTGCTGGGGAGAGATAATAGAAGATATAAAACCTTTTATTCTGTTGGCTAAAACCTTTGAGATCAACTTGTATAAGAAATTACAAAGCGCAATAGGGCTGAACTGGGAAATCCTTTATGGGGAATCTTCCTTTGGAATGAGGACTAAATTTGTTACATTCAAATCCCTGAGCATGAATCTCCCTTCAAAAAAATTCTTTACAACCCTACCCACATCTTTCCCGACAATATGTCAATAAGAATGAAAAAAAATACATGGAAAACCATTTGGCCCTGGGGCTTTAAGAGACCCCAACTGCATAATAGCATTCTTAACCTCTTCATCTTGAACCGGCTTAAGCATCTTTTGGTTCATATCCTCAGTGACCTTCCTTTCCACAAACCCCAATACCTCATCAAACTCTCTTTGCCCCGCTGAAGAAAATAGATTCTGGAAATACTGTTTGATATGATCATTCAGCTCCTCCTCATCTTCAATTCAGACAACTTCATCTGTCTTTAGCCACAATATTGATTACATTGTCGTCGCTGTATAGTAGTGATGAAAAAATTTTGTATTCTGATCCCTTGAATGCAGCCAATTTAGTCTTGATCTTTGCTTCCAGTAAAGCTCCTCCCGTTATCTGATGTCATCCATATCAGATTTAATCTCCCTTTCCTTTCTTAGATTTTCCTCCAAAGCCTCCAACATTTGCAGATTAACCAATTGAGCATTCAACTCAGACAAAATCCTTCTCTCTTCACCAAATCTCTGCCTGCTCCATACCCTAAACTCCTTACCACATTTTTCCACCTTCTTTGACACTCCAAATATCACTGAGCCATGCCATTCTTTTGCCCAACTCTCTTTAATAATATCATGAAATTTATCATCTTCCATCCAGCAGGATTCAACTTGAATGAAACTTTCTTCTTCCTTGAAACTGGCTCCAAATTAATAATAATGGGACAATGATCTGATCCCACCCTTGCCTCATGAAGAGCCTGCATATGTGGATGGCTCAAATTTCATTCTGGATTGATCAAGACTCTATCCAATATTTCTTGCACATTTGCTGTCCCCGGCCTATTATTTGACCATGTAAATTTTGGCCCTTTAAAATCCATGTCAATCAGATTGCACTCCGAAATTAGATTCTACAATTCTTCCATCTTCTTAGCCTTATATGCTCTCCCCCCTTCCTTCTCCAATAGGGACCCAATAACGTTAAAGTCGCTTGAGACCAGCCAAGCCCCCTTAGTTGTAGAGGCTAGGCATTTCAGATCTTGCCAAAGTTTCTGCCTACGATCAAAATCATTATCAGCATACAAAAAGGTACATTGCCATTCGTGTAATTGATTATGCCTTCTTCCCATAACATTAATCAAATTCTTGTTCATTATATCAATACGCAGAAACATATCATCCGTCCACCAAAATGCCAAACCACCGGCAATCCCCCTTGGTTCAACATATTCACCATTCGCAAAATTTAGACTCCTCCTCAACCTTTCCAATTTTTGTGTTCCATTCTTAGTCTCCATCAGGAAGACTATATTGGGATGATGTGTATCAACTAATCCTCTTAAACTATGAACTGTTCGAGGTCGTCCCACTCCTTAACAGTTCCAGGATAGAATCAACATGGAGGCTGTGGCTGTTGAAGGCCAGCCACCACCGCCCTTTCCATAACCATATCTTCTCTAACATTCTCAATGGGATATTTTTAGGCATCAGACATCCACTGAGAAAAACATAAACTTAAATTGTTCTCACCTTGTTCTTCTTGAAACGCAGCTGACTCCTTATCTTCTTGCTCTGCCACTTAGTCCATATAAATTTCTGAGTGAGTCAATAGCCTATTTCTTCTCCTGCTGCCTCCCTTAGGGCGCCAAACAGACTTTTTTGACCTCTGCATCTGCTGTTGAGGTACCTGAGCTTGAACAGGAGCAGGGTCCCCCTGTATCTAAAAGGCGAGATTACATCTCTGTTCAAGAGTGAAATTCTGCACTCCCTTCTGTTTTTTCCTTGGACCGGCATCTCCACTATTCTCCTCCTCGAGCTGAACTTTCCTCTTGATTTCTAGCTCTTGAAATTTCCTCTGCAGCCTGTCATCAGCTATAGCAACATCATCCCCTAATCTGAGTCAGCCCCAATTGAATGGACGTCATCCTCATTAGTGGCTCCAAAAGTGCCTGGACTCTCATTTGGTTCCGTTACATAGTACTCACCCCCTGAGCCTCTTTCAACCAACTGGGCTCCTCTGGGCTTTGGCAGATACCCATATTAGCATTAAAGTTTGACCCTGATACATTGTGGACACTTAAGTCCTTATCACTCTCCCCAACTGGGCTCGGGGAGCCCACATGATCTTGAGAAAATTGGGCTTCAAGTGGTAGTATAAACAAATCTTTTCCACGTGCCATTTCCTTCCCTGCTCGTACCAAATCACCTGCATGAGCCATATCCTGACTCACTACAAGAGTGTGAATATCCACTTTCTCTTGTTCACGCAACCCCCTTGAACTTGGATCTTCCTCATGCGCCGATGTCCTTGCATCTTCTCCGGTCGCAGACTTCTGTAGTGCCCTCCTTTTTAGCTTTTCCTTTGCATCTTTATCAATTTGGGACCAATTTTCTCTATAAAAGACAGACTGATTGTTCAGAGGACGCAACTCTGGACCAAACTTGCCTTGACCATCCATCCTTCCCCAGGAGCATTGATTTTGGGATTGGCCGATCCGCCCACAGACATAACAAAAATCAGACAGGCATTCATATTTGAAACTTATCCACGGGTCCTCTGGCTTCTCTCGAGCTAGAAAGAAACCCTTCTTCAGGGATTCATTAAGATCAATTACACACTTGAACCCTCAGGAAGTTTTTATGCAGCAAAATTTCACCCCCTGCTTATCCACTTGAATTGGCACCCCAATTATCTTGCCTATTTTCCAAGCATTGTTCGTAGTCATCATATCCCAAGGCATACCCCAAATCTGAATCCAAAACTCAGTTTTATAGAAGTCGTAATCGCGCAATGAACTCTGAGGGACACACTTCTTCAGAACAAGCAGAGTCCCCATAACCGACCACGGGCCCTCTCCATAAATTTTATCTCTATCTTCCTTATTTTTAGACATGAACATGAAGGTATTCTTCTCTCAGAAGGTCATTGAGAATCCCTGTACTGTTTTCCACAAACCTTGCAGAACACTAGAAACTCCTTGTTTGTTGAGGGCTGCTTCTGAGAATATTTTTCCTTCCATACATACATGTTGAAAATCCTCAGAAGAAGATTGGTTTGAAGAGAGAGATATACGAGGATGGGATTGGAGGTGGGATTCAAACTCTCTTCATTCGACATACTACAGAAATAACACTGACTAACCCAGAAGGAGACAGGGGAAAGGACGAGGAAGAAGGGGGCTTAACGAAATAAAACCAGAGAGGATACAGGAAGGGCAAAGAGGAAAAGCCTTATATATCTCACAAGGACTGAAACTTCGAGACCATACAAGCCAGTGAGATAAACCGATGGCCACACTGGAAACTGTAGATCATAACACCTCTGGACAAGTTTTGAAAACTTACATCTTCATTATGATTGAAAAACCAAAAACCTCGAGTGAGAGACACCACTCAACTTACACAGAATGAAATCAGACCAAAAGGCCAGAAAGCTGAGAAGGAACTCAGAGAAACCCTAGAAAGAAACTAGGAACGTGAGGTATGTGAGTTTTGCATTTAGATGTGTTTTTCTATGCCTGCAGACTGTCATTAATCTATACTTCATCCTTGGTTAACCTCTTCTGGGTCTAGCACAGTTTGAAGTTGCTGCTGAATCTTTTTTTTAAATATCATCTTCTTCATGAACTTGTTTCATTACGCTCATAAAATTGCATTCTTACAATATAATTATACTATCAATAGTCTGTCCATCAATTATGAAATTCTGTTTTGCTTATGCTCTCTATTTGTGTCAGAAGACCATGCAGTGTTTCTGATGTACTGGCAGATTTGGTCGGGGCAGTTAGACCTCTGGCTCATAAACAACAGCGTGTTGTGGAAATATTTGAACTTTCACAATCTTCGGAGGTTGCTGTTGAAGAACCTTCTCTACGCCAGGCTTTGAGCAATCTAATTGAGGGTGCTTTGTTGCGTACACATGTCGGAGGAAAGGTTACAATTATGTCCACAGGAGCACCAGCAGGAGGTGCTCTCGTTACAATTGATGACAATGGGCCTGATATGCACTACATGGTAAACTAGCAATCTTTCTACTCCTGACTTAACTTTTTTTTTTTTTTCATGGCTGGGTTACAACGGGAGTAGCCCTCCCCCGACCCTATTTCCTCCCAAGTCTGATGAATGCAGGATTCTACACTTGGTCTTTGGTACAAAGACTTGACCAACTAGGCTAGTTGGTACCCTTGCTAACTTGCTGCTTCTATTCAAATTGGAGATCATAAAATCCCTTGTTGCTTCCACGTCGCTGATGTCATGCATAGAGTATATTCCATGTACCATGGAACAATATTCCAAAGTAGTGAGGTTTGGTATGTGAACAATAGATAGATATAGGCATTAGGAGGTGCCAGGGATGGAGGTCAAGTCGTCTGTTATTCAGAAAATTAATCCTTTTCTTCATGCCCTTGAGTATTATAAACTGGCAGCATAGATGGTTTTTGACACATTTGGGATTTGGGGGAACATTTTATATACTTGCAGGCCTGTTTTACTTCTGTCACACTGAACATTAAGTTTTTCTTGAAACTAGTTTGTAAAAAAAGAAAAAGCACAAGTAAAAGGGAAGAAAGCCGACTTTTGCTACCTTTGTACTTCAATCTTCACTCATGGAGGTATCTGGTTCATTCTAAATTTATTTCTTGCAGACACAGATGCATTCGCTTACGCCATTTGGATCAGATCTCTTCTCTGAACACATGGTTGAAGACAACATGACATGGAATTTTGTCGCCGGTCTGACTGTTGCTCGAGAGATACTGGAGAGTTATGGCTCTGTTGTCAGAGTCATCTCGCCCCGAACCACAGACGCCGCCCTTGGAGCAGGGGGAACCCGTATTGAACTTTGGCTTCCTTCGTTTTCTGCATCACATGATGTAGATGGCCCTGCTCAGGAGGTGTAGAAGGAATTGGAAATTGGAAATGTCCACTCCTTCCATTATACAGTTAAAAGAAACCCGCAAGACCGAACATCATATGAAAGAGCTTAATAAATGAGCCCTCTATTCTTGCTTCCTTTATAATTTTGTGTAATTATGTGTATAGATTATGATATTTTTGCTGGTACATGTTCAAAAAAAAATTCCATCGCAGCAAAGAATTTGTAAAAAAGAATCTATTAGGTATTGTTTGGATATAATTCTTGTCATTTACCAGTTCTATATGAATAGGTTATTATGACGAATTGTGTAATAGAATCGAAGGAGTTAAAATTAAGGGTGCTAAAATATGTTGCGGCATATAAAATTAGAGAGTTTGAGTCTTTATTTAGTTACCTATTTCGTAAATGAGTATATCTGATATGACACGATTAAAAAATAAATCGAGTATCGGTGAAATTAATAAAAAAATATTTAATACGACTTGTTTACATATCGATTATATATGATTTATATACAAAATAAATTTGATATGACACGATTTGTTAAATACGAATGAATAAAAGAATCATATATAGGGGGTGAATTTTTTGACACAAATCCGTTAAAATTTGATGCGAATTTGTCTCATCCGACACAATTGACATATTTAGTTACAAAATTTAAATTTATCATCTTTTTGATTTAAGATACACTTTTATTGAGTCAAGTTATGATAAAAAATTAAGATTTATCGTAATATTTTAAAATTGATTCAAAGAAAAATATATCCCAACATATATTTGACCACTTTTGTTATAAAAATTTTAATTCGTTGGGAAAATCTTATAAAAAACTATAGGGTCAATAGACAAAAATTTTGTCCGTAATCCCATTTTCTCAAAATAAAGAAAATCTTATAAATCTGAAAAAAAGACAAAAAAAAAAAAAAAGAAAGGGAGAATTTACATCAAGACCCTTTGAGGTTTGTCGTTTAATCACTCACATCTCTTAATAGTTAAAATATTACACACAGATTCCCTGAAATTTATACGCTCGTAACACTTAAATCCTTGTCGTCAATGTTCTTTAATATATTTGTTAGTAAATTAAATCCAGACCCCTTAAAGTTTATAAATGTGTAATACTTAGACCCCTCAAGTTTAAACTATTATATTTAGACAAAAAAAATACTTTAATCAATAATATAATATCAAATATTTTAAATTTTATAACCGAAATTCATATTCTATTATGACATTTATTGAAATAAAATTAAAAATAAAAATCTAATTTTTTTCTTAAAAAATCATATTTAGTATACAATTGTACTATCTATTAGAATTTAATGTATATCTAAATGACCAAATTAAACTACCAAATTACCCTAATTAAAGTTAGAAGATATTGTGTCTGTTATGACACTTTGTTTAATTTTTTAGTTTTATTCTAATAGATAATATAATTGTATACTAATTATATTTTTTTAAGAAAAAATTAGATTTTTATTTTTGATTTTATTTCAATAAATGACATAATAGAACATAAATTTTAGTTGTAAAATTCATGTTCTATTTTGAATGTCTTAGACCCCTTGTTTGATTTTTTAGTTTTATTTCAATAGATAGTATAATTGTATACCAAATTGCAATTGTTTAAGAAAAAAATTAGATTTTTATTTTTGATTTTATTTCAATAAATAATACAATATAACATAAATTTTGGTTATAAAATTTAAATATTTAATATTTTATTTTTGATTGAAATATTTTTGATTTAAATATAATATTTTAAATTTAAGGGGCCTAAGTGTTATATGTCTATAAACTTTAGGAGATCTAGGTGTAATTTAGCAACAAATATATTAATGGATGTTGAGGGTGTGGGTTTGAATGTTATGCTTGTACAAACTTTAGGAGGTTTTTATGTAATATTTTAAATGTTAAGAAATTTGAGTGATTAAATGACAAATTTTAGAGGATTTGAATGTATTTCTCCCAAAAAAAAAAGCATAAACGTGACAACACATCACTGAACAACCCGACCCTTTCCTTTCCGGATACTGCCGAGTCTCCCCAAATCAAACCCTAGTTTAGCTCTTTCGAATCTCCCTAAACCCTAGGGCTTCCCAAATCAAACAAAACACTAAAGCTCGTTTCTCTTTCGCTGTGATCACTTCCGACCAGACTTTGCAGCCATGCCGAAGCATTACAGACCTCCGGTAAGTTCATGAAAACTGATTTGCCTTTGTTCATATATATATATATATATATATATTATTTGGTGCACACGTGCAACGCACGTGTGATCCATTTTGTATTTCATTTTTTTCCCTCTTCATTTGTAAGTTATTCTTTTCTTCAATATTGAATCAATTTGGGAATATGACGAAAGGTGTATGGAAAAGCAAAATATAAATAAATGAGCAAAGTGACAAAATTCACTTGAAATAACAAATGATTGTACTCTTACATCCATGGCTAGAAATGAAAAACAAACATGTCCTTAGAGAAAGTTATTTTAACAAACAAGGAAACACTTTGGGAGAAAAACATTGAAATAGACCGGAAGTAAGAGATAGCTAGGATTAGAGGTGGGGTTTGAGTCACATTAGGCTACAAAAGTCAATATATTAAATAGAACTAAAATCAATGAGTCGATTATAAACCCCACCCCCAATTCAAAAAAAATAACACTTCTCTTTGGCCTTCGTTACCAACCCAAACAATTTCATCAACCCTTCTTAGAATGCCATTGACCCTAGTAACATGAAGGGGCTACTTGAGCGTTTGTGCTTGCAGGATTCTTGCCATTTGAAGAGCTTTCATGTAGCACTTTTATAATGTTGTAGGCAGATATTGAAAGAGAAACTTGACTCCATCAAGTTGTGACCTGTATCAAAAGAATTAAAACTTAATTATGCAAACGAATGCTATTAGGCCAAAAAATAACCTCTAAAATTCTACATCAACGTACCACAACATCAAACATTAACTTCCTCACTTTAAACCTTAATTAAATTTTTTCCCGCCTTACTTTCACTAAGCCGCAAGGTCTACCATTGGGCCATTGATAATAACTGAGAAATGCTTCATTGCCATTAGCTTTCAGGAGGTTTTTGTGTTCATCTCAACTCATTTGTTTAACAAGTCTAACATGTCCACTCATTTGGTGTTTGAATCAAGACAGTTCCATTGCGAAACTGCCCCCTCTCATTTCTCTTCATACGCATGTGACTTATCCTCTCCCTCGGTTACTCCGTAACGGCACCCTCACCAGTGACGTTCGGCGGAGGAACGAAGATTGCGAGGTACTTCAATAGGATCAAAAACGTACCTTCTAGCTTAGCTTTGCCCCCTTCTACCCACAGTCTCCATGAATCGATTTCGTATTATACCCATAATAAGAATAGATGCAGTACATGGATGCATATATTGTGTACAGTAAAATTAGAACCACAAAATTGAGATTGTACCAAATCATGGGCTGCAAAACAAAGTGGCATACCATATTTTTGGTTTGTGATTTACCTCACAAAATGACAATATCATTGCTTCAAACATGAAGATGCAATATAAAAAATTGAAAAACAGTACCACCATTGAAAAGAAACATTCAACTTCCAAGGGCATGTAATAATTCAAAATGTCTTCAATCACATAGAACTTAAAAATAAAAAAATAAATGTTGTCATCCCTTATAAGGTGCGTAAACCTTTTGTAAAATACATCAAGTATGCTACCTATTCGTAGATTGACTCAAATTTTACAAAGTGAAGTGATAATAGATAAACAAAAATTCTTAAGTTGTTTCCTGAAAACTCATGGATTGACCCGCTAAAATATTCCAAGTTTATATTTCTTTTTCCATCTCTTCATAAATATAGATAACATAATACAAAAAAGAGTCAGAATGAGATATACCTCTTTCTTCAAAAGATTATCCAGTTCGTATTTGCAATCATCTAACTTTCTAAGATTGGATCTGTCAACCACCCACATCAAACGATTAGTTTGCTCAAAATAGTTCCTCCAGTAAAATCTTATAGTTCTTTGCCCCCTCTCCCCCCAAAAAAAACATCCCATATGTTAAGCGTCTATCTGTCAATATTAGGTCAATTATCAATGAATTGCATTAAAACAAGAAGTAATCATCAATGGTTCATTCAACTTAACAATCAACATAACCAAGTAACCATAACCTAAAAAATTAGAAGACACTTAATTTAAAGGATCTAATCTAACAAACTAACATGAAATGATACTGGGTCCAACATTGAAATTTTAGAAATAGTGAATTTTCAATAACTCAAATAGCAACAAAAGTATCCACCACCTATGTTTGACAAACAACACTGAGTGATTGTAATGGAAATTTAAGAAAAGAGCATGCTTGTTGTAAGTCATGGCTTTAATGTTGAAATATATATTTATGGGAGAGGGGAGTAGGTTGATGAATCCCATTTGAATTCCATCCCTCAATATATTTCTTTCCATTCAATTATCTCAACTAACAATTTAGCAAACACAAAAACGATATCATTAGCTTCACAATTTATTCCCAATAACCCCATGAACTACTTAGCAACCATCTAAGTAAAACAAAGAGAGAGAGAGAGAGAGAGAGAGAGAGAGAGAGTTACAGATGATATCACCTAGTTGAAAGGTCTTAGTAGTATAGCCCATTGATATTGCCAATGGTGGTCCAACCAATGGAACCATGCTTGAATTGTAACATGAAGATAAACCAACATGACATTAAAGTTTTATTTAAGGATAGTTCATTGAAGCAATTTGTACCTTCGCTTACTACCCATAGTGATGATGACAAGCTAGCATTAGAAGAAATTTGAAGCATCTTTTAGAAGATATTGAAAGGTATTTTGATTTTGCACAACAGCAATACTTTTAGCGAGAGTTGCACTCTCACCACGAAAGCCACCAATGTGGGAAATTAGAATAATGTAAATGGAATTCACATGTAAGTAATAAAAGTATCAATAGCTTTATAACTTTAGCTAATGTCTACTTGTTGTGGTATGAGGGCACTTTTAATATCATCAGTATAAATCCCACACATAGAGGCTTCAAGGCAAAATTTACAATAATTGAAGAAAAAAATGCACCTTTGACACAAAGATGATATCATCTATATTTAAATCGGTGATGATAAATGAAGTAATCAGTTAGTAGCCGGCTAATAGAAATTGGCTACTAAGATAATATCCAATATTAAACTTCATGAGTGATTAATCGAGGTGACAAATTAGGAGCACTACCACCATGTTGTAAACACCAAGTCTTCTAGTACCATCTGTAATAGAAATAGAAACAAGGAACTGAAGTTCAACTCTAGTAATGATAGAAAGTTTTGTGATCTCAAATAAAGGTTGAGGCATGGGTGGTTCATTGATTTTAGTTATTTGTGCATTTAAATATCCCACGATGTGAGTGGAAACAATATAAAGTCAATGTAGATGCCATTAAAAAACTCAACTTATTTAAAATAAAATGCAAAGCATGACAAAATTTGTTTTATACTTGATATCTACATGTGCATGATAACTAATTTATTGCTAACACAGGGCTGTCGTAACCTATAGAAACAAAGAATTATTTTCAGCCCCATATTGTTAAACGACCAAAATCAATGCCCCAGTTGGCATACTATTGACAGAGGGACCTCAAAAATGCTCTTTCATATTTTTTCCACATGCTAAGGATAAGTTCATGACCACCTACATATCAACAACCAAAAGCATGTGAGAACGAAAATGCTCAAAGCATCTGAGAAAACCTTTTAACATTTAGGAAAATACAGACCATTGAATAAGAAAGTTGCCTTCAGGAAAGAAAGCTAGTGTCGTCTCTGTTGACAAACCAGCATATTCAAAGGCACTAAAAAGGCATGAAGAAACACCAAGTCCCCCAAAGAAAATTAAAATGTATGTGCTAAACTGAAAGAAAATAAACTGTAGGAGAAAGCTTATCAAAAGTCTCGTTCCTTGACCCATGACAAACTCAGCCCAATCTTGGTTTCATGGCCTAGAAGTAGTTTATGGATCATCATTTCTTTGAGACAAAGCTCTTGTTCCAACAAAACTTCCAATCCAATAACAATTAGGACAACTTCAATTCCATCAGTGATCATCATATCAGCATCACCTCGATGGATGTGATGGGCTACAACATAGAAGCAATATTTGCATGCAGCACAAGCAGGTGAAATTGAATAGTTTGGTCCCATAAAACAAAGATCAATTGCAAGGCAAAACCCATGTTTTTTATAGCATAAGGCATTAAAAAATGGTGTATTTTCCTGTAAGCTTTCTTCAATAGAGCCTGAACACCATTAAAAACTATAAGATCATCTACCCTTGTCCCAACAAGCACACCAGCTCGCACCTTTTTTTTTTTTGTTAAAAAAAACATTAGAGTAAATGATACAATGAGTAAGCATCACAATGTTGTCATTATATCAAGGATGGCCCATAAAACATAAATTTTTAAGAAAATTAATTGACAAAATGAGAAAAGATGCGAGAAGAAGGAGAAAAAATTGAATGAGATCAACCAAAAATTAATTCTACGTGTACTTCTATTGTTTCATTACTGATCCATGATGTAATGTACATCAAAATAATGACAAAGAGCTTCCTTTTACAGGCAACCACAATTCTTTGAGGCCATTTGAGGAAAGAGTTTGCCATGGTTGTACAACATTGGTTACATCAACTAATTTCATGGCTAACTAATACCAGCTCTCCTAAATGAAAGAAACAATACAATTTAAGATCAATCAAAAACTATTTACAATCGAAAGAAGACAGCAATAATAAAGTACTTATCTTATTTACTTCTCTAAAAATGAAGAATTGTTAAAAATGTACTAATTCATTTTTATCCAAATTTTGATAGCAAGATGTTGGGACGACTTTCTTGTTAGGCCGTCCCACTCATACTCAAATTGTTACCCGCTTACAGACGATCTAATTTTATAGAAACAATGATTCAAGACTCGTGTTCCAATTCAAACAACAATCACATTACGCCACTAAGCACAAAATAGGCAATTGAAAAATAATATAACCACTTAAAAATAAACGAAAATGGGGTCCCCAAGATTCGTTGTGAAAATATTCAGACCCTTATAGGTGGGTGATGACAATAGAATTCCAACAATTTGACCAAAAATAGTTGCTTAAGATGTTCTCAAGGAGAATAGCTTGGGGGAAAAAACAGGTTCTTAAGGTAGTTTATGTGATGTTTAATTGCATAATCACGGAACATCTAGCGATTTCAAACTCCAAGTGATTGCAAGCTATGGAGCAGCAATATGACAAACACAGTGATCACCAACTTGACAAGATGAATTAATAATTCCTTGAAAATATCTCAATGGGACAAAACCATGCAAAAGGCTAAAAATTAGTTTTGAGCCAAATTGCCAAAAAGAACAACTATATTTTGTTATCCTTTTATCCATAAGCAGGATGTAGCCTACAAACTGCTATAGACAAACAAAGTTTTCTCTAGAGCAACCCAAAGGAACGATACCATGTCAAGGTGTAGGAGTACAATATGAATATAACATAGGAACATGATGTCACCGAGGTACAGAACTAACTCATACTAGTTTAAAATGGCAGTCTTACTTATTAGTCTAAGTTGTTTAAAAGCGTCAATCTCATGTTAATTAACTGTTGCATACATGTATTTTGGTGTAATGAATTTTCATAATTTTCCCCCTTCGCAGTAAGTTGTTGATATCAGTCATCTAGCTGGAAATCCACTGTTCAGCATGAGTTGCGGCAGAGCAAGAATATTTTGTTGATAAAAAAAATATTCCAATCAAAAGTATGGATTCTTTTTTTGTCGGACCGTCCTGGCTTTGCCTTGATATTTTGTCTTCCCTTGAAGAACACCTCAAAATTATGGATTCTTTTTTCGTCTAGGTTTTGATATGAGGATTGAGTTTCTACAAATACGGTAGATTTCATGTAAATTTAGAAACAAAACCAAAAAAATTAAAATTAAACCCAAAATCCATTCTAGCATAGAAACAAAATGTAGATCTACAAAGGAACTGTGGGCAGAACGTATAATACAATACAAGTAGAAAGAGAATTAATACCTGTTCAAACAAATTTTTTTGTTGAGACAGAGAAGATTAAGTGGTCGATTTGGGATAACGAACCGGTATATCGCCAGGCAAGTATGTCTGGTTCCCAGCTTGTCATCAACTTGGTATTGACATGACGGAGAACCATTTTCATGGGAACCATCTTTGGGGGTTAAGCCATAAGGTATTGGCATGGTTGAGAAACCAGTAAGTCGAGTGGTACATTTGATAAAAGATATGAAGCGTCTGTAACAGTAACCATTCCAAGAGTTTGTAACTGTCACAATTGCATTATCTATGAAGTCACAATAGTCATTATATAATTTGGTAGGGATAATTTAGTCGAATGAAATTTTTTCATTTATCTTGACTTTTTAAAGTAGTATATATATATATATATATATATGTATATATATATATATATGTATGTATGTATGTGTGTGTGTGTACGCACCTGCCACTGTTTCGTATGAATTTCCTGTTGTATAATTCCAGGGGAAGAAAAAGGAAGGAAACGCTGCAAGATACATCACTAGATCACAAGCTGTTAAATCCCTTCAAGTCAGTCTATCACTCTTCAGGTATATATCTCTCTCCTCTAAATTCGTATTATCTGGTTTCTTCTGAATTATTTTCCCTTTTGGTTGCTAAGGATCCTGCTGAAAAGAACGTAAAGATGAAAAGTGGGACCATACTTGGGATTGTTTGAAATTAATGAAAACAACAATAAGAAACCAGGTCAACTCACTGTTGACTGTTACCAACCTAGACGAGTTGAGCTTATCCATGTGAGAGAAATAGAAAGCAGAAATGAACCTTGAATTTAGTATTATTATTCTTTGTGCAGCCGATTAGTACATGAGTGTTATTGTCATCTTGCAGAGATGCACTTTGCTTTGGATATTTAGTTTCTTTATATGATTGGGGTCCTGCAAGAGGTATTTGGTAAAGATTACAAGGAAAAGTGTTTTTCTTTTTGGATGCATTTGATTTAGGAATTCTAGCACCCAATATTTCAAGGTTTTTCTGATAATTTATCTATGTCTAGATGCATGCAATTTTTTTGCACTCCTGAGTATATATAATATATGATATACCCTTTAACTTCATTGAACTTCGCGCTTGAAGTTTTCCAAAAGTGAAAAAAGAAAGAAAGGAAACTGACACTATCAACTGAACTAATATCTATTTGATCTAAAAAAACTTACAGGAAGTTATGCATTCTCAAAGGTATCTTTCCCCGAGAACCAAAGAAGAAAATGAAAGGTAATCACCACACGTATTATCACTGGAAAGATATTATGTTCCTTAGACATGAGCCATTACTTGAGAAGTTTAGAGAAATGAGGGCATATGAGAAGAAGGTAAAGAAAGCTATTTCAAAGAAGAATAGGGATCTTGCTGAACGTCTATTGACTCGCAAACCTTCTTACACCCTTGATATGCTTATTCGAGAAAGGTTGGTATGCAGTTTCCTTCTATTGAGTCAATTTTCCTATCACCAATATGGATTATTTGAAGATTATTATTTACGTTCACTGATGCAGTAAGGGATTTGGATGACTGTCTCAGCATGGTGCACCTTTTTGCTGCATTGCCTGCAATAGAGAGGGAAAAGATTGAAGTGAAAAGTGTTCATAATTGTCGAAGGTTGACACTTCCACTATATTCAAAAAAATTCCTGGGACTCATATTAAATTGATACTGTCTGATTATGTACTTGTCTATGTCTTAATTGCAATATGTGTACTTGTGCATTTCATCAGAAATTTATCAGACTTTTAATTTGATTTGTTTTCTAGGTTGAGCCACGAATGGTAAGCCTGTATTTCTTGCACTCATAAATTACGGAAAACTTTCATATCTGTGAAAGGCATTTATTACCAGGTACTTTGGCAAATGGTGGATGCATTTTTGTTTTTTACAAAGTATGTGAAAACATGGTGTTCCCCCCAGCTCACCATTACTGTGCCATCCACCTGTACAGGCAGAGGTTGAGGGGCAAAAGATCACTTGGTTAACTCCTCATGCATCACAGCAAGTATTGCCTGAAGATGTTGACTTCAAAATCATGCTGACTTTCTTGGAATTTTATGAGGTCAATTTTTGTTTACTTTCATATTTTCTTCATGGCTAGTTGTTTCATAATCTTGTTATCTTCCCATAGTTGTTTACTGTTTTCTTTTGATTGCAGACTCTCCTTGCATTCATCAATTTTAGACTTTATCATTCAATAAATGTGAAATATCCACCCATTCTTGATCCTCGGCTGGAAGCTTTAGCAGCAGGTATGGTTTTCACTCTCCATTTACTGATCATTTGTTAATTTAAACTCTAGTTTTTGCTACTTCAACATCTTCACATTATTCAGTCATTAGCTTTAGGAGTTATACATGCTTTCATGTATCTGGAGCTAGTGGTTGGTACTAAAGCTTTGTTAAGTAGAGTGATCGTGAAAAAAAGCTTTGTTGAGTAGACCTTGAGTTGATATCTATTGTTATACACTTTATTTTACTATATTTGACCCTTTTGGAGGTGTGCAGATCTTTATGCTTTGTCAAGATACTTTGATGCCAGTTCTAAAGGCCCCACGGTGGGATCACAGGCGGATAGTTCATGTGGATATGAGCAAGTTGAGGACAAGCAAGCAAGTGCAAAGCTTGATGAGTCTGAACTTAGACTGGCCCAACCTCAGCATCAACTTCCCTTCAATGAACCTGGTGCTTTGATGCACCTCGTTGAAGATGCTGCAGGCAAGGATGAAGATGATGAAGAAACGGGGGAATGTAAAAATATCTTCAAAAATATTAAAATCTTCTAGAGTAGTGAGGTGAGATTTATTGTTTGTCATTTGGAACTGTAGTATTTCATTAGGCTGTTTCTTCGCCAATAGATAGGATTTAAATTCTTATTGTTTTGCTTTTGTCATCTCAGTCTTTCACTTTTGTGCCATGTTGTAAGATTTGTTTCTTTTGTTGATGGGCTTCCCTTGCAGACATTGTCCCTCATTTTAACGTTAATTGGGTTCGTACTAGTTTGTTGATACATACACACTTTTTCTTGTACTTTGCCCTGTCCTGTGTTATGTATATGCTTCTTGCGCTCCTAATGTGATTTATGTTGCAATGCTTTCCTTTGTCTCTTTCTTACTTCGGGTACATTCTTTGTGTCTTTATTTTCAGGTTCCCAGAGATTCATTGCTTTTTGTCATTCCTGCTTTTGGCGGTGTGGTTTCTTGGGAGGGAGAAGGAGCTCCACTTGAGGAATCTGACCAGAGCATTACTCATCAGGTCTCCTATCACAAACACAATTATGAGAATTCTTGTATATTCAGAAATGCATATGATGAAAATAAAACTTGCTATCACACTTTTATGGCATTGCTATCCTGTAACCTGGGGGAAGACCTTATAGTTTGATTTGTCTATTGTGCTCTTTGTTTGTAAATATGGTGGCCTATTAGACAGATCAAAGTTGAGCCCAATGAAGCAGAATTAGTGAATTCAAATATGTGCTAAGCCCTCTTGATTTCCTTTGGCAAGTATCATTTTTTAGCAAGGAAAAACCCCTGGATCAATCTAATTGCTTTAGCATACTGTACTGAATATTGAGCTCTATGTCTTTATGTAATGTCTATTTGAGACGCTGAAGGTACTCAGTTTACCTCGAAGGAACTTGATTAGTTTAAGTTCCCAAAAATCCTAATTTAACAAATTATAGTTTGCACCTAATTTCTGCTTATATTTCATTTCCTTCTCTTCAATTTCTACTAATTTGATTAAGATGCCCTGTTGCAAAATTTTCTTAAGATAGCCTCCAAAATGTTAGAAAATCAATCAATTTTGAGTTAAAAACATTTTCAATATTTCAGCTGAATATGAAAGGTTCCTCTCTTCTTCATCTTTTTAAGCTTTAAGTTAAAACCTTCTTTTTCATTGTTCTCATTTCACTTTTAGTCTAGAAAAATGCAATCCCTTGCTTATATCTTCTCTGTGACGATATTTTTCATTTTCTACGTTTAAAAGATGTCCAAGTTTGAATGTTGGCTCTATTGTTAAGGCATTGGATCGGATTGGGAGAGTTTTACTTTCAAATCTTACCTAGATAAAGACTTACTAAAGAAGTTTGTCTTGATGGCCCCACTACATGTCTGACATGTATGGAAGCTTATGTTGGAGGTGTGATGTCTCTGCAAGGTGGTTGACGCTGATGGTTTTTCTGTAGAAGTTTCGATGCTGCTTTAAGTTCCTATAAAAAGTAAAGCTTATATTGAGGTTCACGTGTATTTATAGGTCGTTTTTCGTGCAGGTTGTTGACAAGCCAACGCAGGGCCGCAGGTTTCTTTCCAGAGAATATGTTCAGCCACAGTGAGTTTACGATTGCATAAATGCACGTATCATGTTGCCGACTGAGGACTATATGGTGGGCGGGTAAATTTTAGGAATACATCACATGCTTCGACTTTTTGTTTTTGCGTGTTGCAAGTGTCCATGGTTTTTCTCAGTTGGCTTTCTTGCCTGGCCAAAATTAACTTTTTAAGTGAAATAGTAAAGAAAGACGTGATAACTTATGGTTTAATAAAAACATGGTTCTTGATAGAACACAATGACGAAAGAGGTTTCATGTAGACGACCCCAAAAATGTTGGGACAAGGTTTTGTTGAATTGAGTTGAGCTTACCTGCCTGGCCTTTACTACAATATAATGATATGCGACAGTTTGTACCTTTTGTGTTTGGCAAAATAGTTCAAGCACGTGTTATAATTTTCTTGAGGTACTTATAGTGATTTCTGGTTTGTGGGTCTCCAAGTTCTTTGATGCCAGCAATGTGTCATTTTTGAAAGCTATATTCTTTCATTTTTATGATTACATTGACTCACTGTGTCAAAAACCCAAAAAAATTGGTTTGAACAGGGTTCCTCCGCCACATTTATCGCGTTTGTTGACAATGAGGCAGAAGGCTATGTTCCTGAGTATGCAGAGACCATCAAACAGCTGCAGGCTGCTGCAAGAAAAAAGTTCTTCCAATACCAGGTGTGGGAAAAGAAGATTTGGATGATCCTCAGAATGTATTGGTCGAAGGTATTATCAGCCGGGCTGAAGCTATTGAAGCTGCCGAGAAAAAGGGGAACGTATAGTCTCCCATTGGATCTTAATTAGCTGTAATATGGATGGTGATGGTGAAACAGAGCTGGATCATGCAACCCTGCCACTTCATTGGCACAAAAACTTGTATTGTCATTGTTAGAATGGTTATGTAGATAGTTATATGGATTCACTAAAAATATAAGCATAAAGACCTGAAAGAAGAACCAGTTATTCTATTTATATATAATGATGATAAATTCTTTGAATGATCTATGGACCATCTGATATATTAAGCAAGATAAATACTTTGAATGAATCCTTTTTTGATTCAAAACCTTACACGTGTTGCCACGTGTATCCCAACATGGTTTGGTCCAAACCATGGTTAGCATATTCGTGGTTAGGATGAAACCCGTCCCATAAATATCAGCAACCCCCAAAGTTGTAAGCAAATTGGAAACAAATTGCTTGGTCTCTCTCTCTCTCTCTCTCTCTCTCACACACACACACAGAGTTAGCGACAGAAGAGAGAAGAAGATGGGACTATATAACTATCTAAGTCCGGGTGAGGGGGTACTTCCGGTGCTGGTGATTAACACAGTATTGTCTGTGGCTCTTTTGAAGAACATGGTGAGATCATTGCTTCAGGTGGTGGGTAGTGCCACTGGGCCACCACAAAATTTAGAGGCAGACCCATCACGTGATGGCTCTGAGAATGGAATAGCAAGAAGAGTGTCGATTATGCGTTACGAATCCTTGTGTAAAAACATGTCTGGTCTCGCCGGAACTAGTAGTGGCAATGGCAATATGTGGTCTTCAATAGAGTGTTGTGTGTGTCTGTGTAAGTTTGAGGGTGATGACAAGGTGAGTGAGTGAGTTGTCTTGCAAGCATTTATTCCACAAGGGTTGTTTGAAGAAGTGGTTTGAAAACCAACACAGCACTTGTCCTCTTTGTCGTTCCATCGTCTAAGTACTTGGGTTAGTGGGTGGGGTTATTCCAGGAATACTTTTCCCACTTCGTACCTTTTTTACCCACCCATGTTTGTGGAACAAATTACATAAGATAGTGAGAGACAATCTTGCTGTGCTCAGTGTGTGCTTGCAATTTGAAGGAATAATGGGAATAAAGAATGAAGGGTTTTAGTGTTATGTCAGATCTTTGTGACCTGTAACCGTAGGAGCAGACCCTCTGCTGAGTTCAATGTTGGTTTCTACATGACTAAATGACTATGGGATCCCGAGTGGACTCAATTCAATTCAACTTAATGAAGTTTTCTCCCAATATTGTTGAGGTTTTGTTACGAGTTTTACTCGGGTATTTAATTAGATGAATAGGTGAAAATGCTAAAGGTTCTGAATTTTAGAAGTGAGGTTAGATTGGATTGAATACTATTGAGATTCTCAACAAGATGAAATTAGAATGTATTACTAAAGAATGTTAATCACAAACTTGTCATCTTTTAACAGTGCAATAAATACCATAAATGCATAAGCCACACAAGCTCATCATAAGACAAAAATTTGATGGTGAATCACTCTTGTTGCCTAAATGAAGCAGTGTACTGCTGCAATATAAAGCAGCCATTTCCTTGAAGTTTCTATGTAGGTAGAGGAGAAGTCTGGATTTTATTTTTGAAGGGCTAAATATTAGGCGTAAATTTGAATTTATATCAAACAAGATAATATAGTCACTGTAAATAAAAATAAATCAATGAAATTGCACATTTAGAAGTGAGCACTAGCTATGAACTCAAATAATAACATAACAATACATAGCGTGGTGGATAAACTTTACAGAAGAATAAATATATATCATATATCGTATTTTTCGACTAAAAATGAATGTTATTAAATTTCACATAAAAACAACTGCGCAATAGAGTTTATCTTCACAACTAGAAATATGCATCTAATAAAAAATAATATTATGTTATTTTGTTTTAAAAAAAAAAAAATTTATTTATAAACAAAACCAGTAATTACAAGAAGCAAAAGGAAAATATTTTTATTACTATTTTAGTCTCGAATATACCACATAAATCAACACATGATATTGCACTACTTCATTTTCAAAAATTCGTCAAAATCTAAAAATTTTGAACAGTCAGAATTAAAAATACTAATTTGTTAATTAATGGAGGAAAAATAGATATTAGATTAATTTTGGCCTTATCTTGAGCAAAAAGACAGATTGCTTTTTTGCAGGAGTAATTCACCCGTGAAATGAGACTGAATTTTTAAAAAATATGTTTTTGATAGGGTTAGGTTTTCAACGGTAAAAAAAAAAAAAGTGTTTGAAAAGGATAATTATTCTGCTAAATTGATTTTTCAATGGAATATAATCAAGAAACTTTTCAATTGCCAATCATAAAAGGATTGTTAAGTGCTCATGAATAATTTGTTAGTTTAAAGGGGCCCACAAATAATCATTATATATGTAAAGAAGAATTTTATTGGGGGCGTACCGAATATTTTTTTTTCTATTGGGGGCTAAAATACTAGAACTCAACGGGCCTATTATTTGTTTGAAGTATTCGATTTGAGTGGTATTAGAAATTATTTTTATTCTATTTTTATCAAATGGTATATTATATCTGATCTTAAATTATTATTTTATCTTTTCCCTGATTTGTTTGTTCAATAATCATTATAGTAGATTCCACAAATAACCTTTTTTTCTATCACATCTTATATAATAAATTTATCATTTTACCCTTAATATCATTCATTCTATTCAAAATAATTTTAAAAAAAAATTAAAAAAAACCGGTAACATTGTAGGCTTAAACAAAAAACAAGGAAAAAATTCAAAATAATATTTTTTTTAAAAAACCGGTAACATCTTATGCTTAAACATAATACAAAAAAAAAATTCAAAATAATTTTAAAAAAAAAACTGAAAAAAAAAACCGTTGACATTGTACGCTTAAATATAATACAAGGAAAAAAATTAAAAAAAAAACTGTTTACACCGTACACTTAAACATAATACAAGGAAAAAATTTAAAATAATTAAAATTTTTTTTTTAAAAAAAAACCATTAATACTGTATGTTTAAACATAATAAAAAAAAATTTTAAATAATTTTTACCTCCATTATTTAAAAAAACTCCATAATTTTTTACCTCCATTAAAAATTTTTTTTTTTTAAAAAAAACCATTAATACTGTATGTTTAAACGTAATAAAAAAATTTTTTAAATAATTTTTACCTCCATTATTTAAAAAAACTCCACAATTTTTTAAATAATGTCCTCCTCCCTTCACATAGGAGGACATTTGTGTCATTTTATTCTCTTATACCTCCATTTCATTTGTACCAAAAATATAATACCACCAGGTAGGTGGTATTGTTTAGCACCATATACTGACATAAAAGTTATTAGTCAATATTATGACCCGAAAAATAATACTAAATAAAAATTATTAAACAAACAAGATATAAGGTAGACTTCATGTACTATTTTCCTTATACTACTCATATCCCTCAATAAAACAGGGCCTAGGGGTTCTAAAAAATCTTTGGTGGGTGGGGGGGGAGGGGAGGGCATGGCCCCCTTAGGCCATGGTGAAGCTCCGCCATCGTATGTCAAGAAATATTTATCCACAAATGAAAAAAAAAAAATTCATTTCCTTGAATATGTAGTGAAAAATATGTATCCACAACAGACAATTCATTCTTCTTAGTCTAATAACTTGCCAGTTGACACATAAGGATAGATAGCGGGGAGTGAGATTCTCGCTAATATACTTTCTCCTCTTTTTATCCCATCATTGTATTATGTGGAATCCATTATACACAAATGAGCCCCTCACTCATAGTAATAGATTGGTTGAGATATTCCACCATTATTTCCAAGAAAAGACTCCAAGATCCTCAGAAAATGGTTGCTAAATCCCCATATGTCATTAAGAGTTGAAATCATCGAGTACACAGCTTTCGAATTAAGAAGAAGAGGAAGAGGAAGAGACCAAAAAATACACAATCTGAAAAAAATGACAAGAACACAACATGGGCTTCTGTGTATAAGAAGTCAATCACTTGTTCACACAAGTATTACTGGAATATTACCAAAAAGTGCCACCCCATTAATCAGCTAGGTACAAGCCATGAAGTGTATTACTTCATTGACATTCATTTGCTTAATTCAAATTTCTCGTGCTCCAGCTCAATGAACTCCTCAGCCTCAACATTGATGTCTTCTTCATACACCTTTTGATTACAATTCTTATCATATTCAGTAGCATGCTTATGATTACACTTCTTACCATATTCAGTAGCATGCTTATGATCCACTGCTTGAACCTTCTTTGGAGCCTTTGGCACAAGTGCCTCAAAGCCGTGGGCTGTCACATAAATATTATCATATGGAGGAGCATCAAAGAGCTTATGAGGCTTTGCCTCCATTGTTGAAGCATAAACCTTTGCCTCCGGGCTCCTGTACTTCATTTTCTGTGGCTCTTTGCTTGGGTTATGGTGGCAGAGGAAGGCAGGCACTCAATTTGTAAAGCTGATAGTTGTGTCTGTGACAAATATGCATAGTTTCTACTGCATTTATAGGCTACTGTTATATACGTGAACGATCAGAGAGAATCTGATACTTTCCCTAGAAGGTTGAAGGCTCATTGAACTCAATCTGATACAGGTTCAACCTCCAGAGCTTGCAGCAGCAGCAGATAAAGTAGATTTTTTGTTATGGAATTTGTGTCTTTAGAATTGGGAATCAGATTCCAAAGCTGAGATGATTATTGGTTTGAAAATCTCTATCACAGATGAAAGAAGGCTTCGGGTCAAACCAGCCTAGCTTTCGGATTTCTTATCAGCAATCTCTCACCCTGTCTTCTGAATGCATTAAGTATTCGCGTTGGACACTTGACATCTCCGTACAACCTACTAGGAGAAGATTATTTGGAAATTCTCTGCTTGAATGTAATCGTACATCTAAATCTGCTTGTAGTTTTCTTCATCATGACCCCAATCCTGTTTCCAACTCTGACCATAATCCTGATTCCAACTTTGGAATTTGGAATAGGGTTTGGAAGCTGAAATGCTTCCAAAAGCCAAGTTATTGCACGTTTGCTCATGGTTTTGTAGGATAACTCAAACGCAAAGGGATTTAGATATAAGCCCTATTTTAGAAAGACAAAAAGCCAATTACTTATTATGAACCTATGTATCAGATCAGAGATTTGGGAAGAAAAGAGCTAGTCGGACAAAGGTGAGAGTCCACTGAATGCTGTCAAATTATGAAGAGTCAATGCCATAGTATGCCCTTTCCTGTAAAATTTTAGCAACTGGGCTGAAATTTAACACTAGAACAAGACACCAAATGTATATTTGCATATCAATTATTCTATTACTTATCTGTCTTTGCTTATGCAGCAAATACATTATTCAGTAGATAGTACACACCTTGAACATCATTTAGGATGGAACTTTAGCTAATGCCAATCCCCTTACATTAAGCATACTTCCTATATTATGCATCAGTCTCGTGGGATGTCTGTTCAGTCATCCACCCCTTTAAGGATCCACTCCGCCTTGGGGTAGCCATTTTGCGGGCTGTTGGAATTCGGATAGTAAAATGGGTTGCGTTCACGCTCGTTACCCGAGCTTGAATACTCATATTTCATTGCCTCTATTCCCCTGGGAACAGGTTGCGGAACATGTTGTACATAGCTTGCCGTGTACCCAGTGTTCCCCGTGGGGTTGCTGTGTTTGCCACCGGAAGAAGCATAACCGTCGTTCCCGTTAGAAGGCAACATCTGGCCCTGTGAGCCATGGCTGTAGTAGTAGTAGTCAGTTGTGTTGTGCATGCCATTTGGGGGCTTGTTTTTGCCATACGAGTCATCATGCAGCTGAGCATAGCCTCCACCAGCTACCATGTGATGGTTAGGGTACTGAGGGGTGGTAGCACATGGGTTGATCATCACCGGCATGCTCAGAGGAGGGGTGCTGTAGTTGTCATTGGTGGAGTTGTACCCCTGCTGTTGCACAGAATATCCCTGCTGTTGGTAACCATAACCAGGATAGACCTCAGATTGGAGAACCATTTTTCTTTGATGTTTTTGGACTGTGATGTTCTTCGAGTTTCGAAATGCTATTTATAGAACTACCTTTTGTGATTCCAAGTCGATAAGAATGCATCTCATTCCCCTCCTATATGGACGGCCATGTCGAAAATTCTGCACTTCTGGCGGTATCAATGGAAATCACAATCAATTCAAAAGGAAAAGTTATCTCCCCATTATTACCAAGGAATCTGATCTGATCATCTGTAACACCGAATCACATTCAATGCAATGATCATGGCAATGTTACCTTCACAATTTAAAGACATGACATTACTTCAATTAGTACTACTACTACCTCAATCAACGTCAAATGGTATATAATTCATGAAACTTGATGATGTTCTTTGTTATATTTTACTCTCCAAGATTATCTCGGCTGCACGTCATGATTTCAAGTCCTCTTGGCTACATACAACCAAGTTTCAGCTGATGCACATGCTTAGTAAACGATAAGTCCATTTAAGATTTGCTTTACAACTACGAGTCCAAACGACACATACTTGGAACGATTTTCAGCTTTAAAAAAAAACTTTTCGAACTTTCCTTTTAGTGGGGTTTTCAGAGCATCTGCATGTGTCTAAGGTGACCTCTTTTGGATGATGACAATCCCCCCACGTCACAAGTAGTCTCCTCTACACTGAATCCAGATCTTGAGCACTGATTTGTAGTTAAAATTTGGAATAATTCTATTTGAACCTAAAAATTTGATCTAATTTGTTGACATAATAATGTGATTTCAATGAAATCATTAGATTAACAGTAAATTCCAATATTTGATAGATTTTACGGTCAATCTAAATATTATATTTAATTAAATTAATAAATTAAATTTTAATAACATTATTACTTTGAAATTTAATTGGTTACGTAAATAAAGTGATGCTGATTAACACTTGGGTGTTTTTAAACTCTACCCAACAGCTGTTGACAAGGTAGAGGCAGGCAAAGTTATTCGAGGTACCCCATTACTAGGTAAAAAAACTCAACAAGCATGGAACCCCGGGCAATAAACGAATCACTAACCCCCAAAAGTGATAATTTAACTTAAAAAGGCGATATTTTCACCAAAAAGAAATGATATTTTCAATCTAAAATTAGTATTTTCACCTAAAAAGTAATATTTTTAATAAACAAGTGATAATGTAACCTAAAAAAAAATTCATTCAAAAAGTGATAATCTAACTCCTAGAGAGGTATTTTTCATCCAAAAAGTAAAAATTTCGCTCCAAAAGTGATAATTTCACACAAAAAAATTGTATTTTTACCCAAAAGTGGTAATTTATCCAAAAAGTTATATTTTCACATAAAAAATGGTATTTTATATCCAAAAGTAATAATTTAACAAAAAAAGTGGTATTTTTACCCAAGAAATGGTAATTTAATCCAAAAAAAAAAAATGATAATTTAACCAAAAAAGTTATAATTTAAGCACCAAAAAAATGCAATTTTCACCAAAAAAGTGGTAATTTAGAACAAAAAGTGATAATTTAACCCAAAAGTGGTATTTTCACCAAAAATTAAAAATTTTCACCAAAAAATAAAAATTTTCACCAAAAAGTGGTATTTTCACTCCAAAAAATAATATTTGCACAAAAAAAAGTGGTAATTTAACTTAAAAAGTGGTATTTTCACCTAAAAAACGGTATTTTCGGCCAAAAATTGCGAAACCCAAAAAGTGCTTTTCGAATATATATATACACGTATACATGCATGATTGAAATTGTCAAATGGGTATTTGAATTTCATCAAGGAATGAGATGAAAATTTATTGAAAGGTAATCTAGGTCCTTGGTGATGAATAGGAAATTTTAGATTTGAAAGAAATGAATTAAAGAAACAATTTACGGCAGAAAGAGAAAGAAAAAAAAAAAAGGGGGAGAAAGAAGCTTACTGATGCAGGTCTGGACGTTGGACAAGATGAATGACATGTTGGCTTAAATTCAGAAACTCTCCCCTTAGTTTTAGATACATCACATACCTACTTGTAGAAATTACAAAATTAAGTTCAAGGTTTTGTCAAGTTATAGAAAGTCCTCTTTGTGTTTCATGAGTAATGGGTAGGTACCTGTTAAAATTACACAACGCCCCTAGAAGATTATAAAATACTACTAAAGCACCAAATTAGTATTTTTAGTAGTTAGAAAATGTTTCTGAAATTATACATTAACCCCAATAAGTATAAAATACTTTTGAATATTACAAAGTGACCTTTAATTGTAATGAAGTTCATAAAGATTCATGAATGAATCCAAAAAATTATAACCGTGTGAAAAGACCACCAAATCTCGTGTGGCCTTTAAGATAATATTTTCTTGGAACTATAAACTACACCCATGGTGATAAAAAATTAGGTATATATATTCATTGTTTAAGTAAAAGTGTGGTTACTTATGAAAGTTAAACTACTAATATATATGAAAATTTACAAGAGAAGTATTATGTATGAAGAGTGGTACACTTCCACTTAGTTAGAATGTTAATCATGATATATATATATATATGTGTGTGTGTGTGTGTGTGTGTGTATATGTATATTGATTTGAGTAGCATATACTTGTATACCATAGCATGTTAAAGACATATTGAAATGCATATTCATGATTATATTATTTATATTTTAGTTGTTATTATGATGGTAAATGAATCATTTGTGATTATTCTGATTAGCGTGCTCAACTGACTTTGAGACACATGAAATGATAATTCTCGAATTGAAATTGGGACAAGCATGCGGGGATCGTTCCTCCATAAGGTGAAAGACCCAAAACAAGTCTTGATCAAGCGTAGCATCCGTTGAGATGCGGGGTCACTCGTGCCCTAATTGAAAGCATCTAAGGATGAGTTGTGCTCAGTTGGCTTACGAGATATTATATTTTAAGAAAATTTTAGATTTGTGATTTGTGTTTTATTGCTTTGGTGTGTTTTCAAAATCGATGGGATGTAATAGTATCGATTATGGACTTCTTTTGGGATGAATGTATAATTTGGGTTTTTAGACTATGATATTAAATAAATACTCTAATAGTCTAGTCTAAATCGAAGTACGTCAACTGTTCAATTTATTTGATGAATTATGTCTATTTGTTACATAAATTACATAAAACATACTAAATCACCCCTAAAAATTGGGGTGTCACATTTTCTGCCAAAAATTGCAAAACCCAAAAAGTAGTTTTTTTTTTTTTTTTTTCACATAAAAAAGTGGTAATTTAACCATAAAAATGGTGTTTTTTCACCAAAAAAGTGATATTTTAGCACAAAAAGTCATAATTTAAAGCAAAAAAGTGATATTTTTATCCAAAAAATAAAAATTTCACCCAAAAGTAGTAATTTCACCTAAAAAAATAGTAATTTATCACAGAAGTGGTTATTTAACCCTAAAAATGATATCCAAAAAAGTGATAATTTTACCACAAAGTAGTATTTTCACCCAAAAAGTGACACTTTCACACAAAAATGGTATTTTCACTCAAAAGTCATACTTTCACCCAAAAAACAGTAATTTAACGTCCAAAAGTGATAATTTAACTTTAAAGCGGTATTTTCACCTAAAATTTACAATCTTCACCATAGAAAAAAATGGTAATTTAACCCCAAAAATGGTATTTTTACCCCCCCCAAAAGTGAAAATTTAACCCAAAAAAATGTTATTTTTCTTTACTTAGTACAAGCTCAATCAACTCTTAAATGTTATAATTCATGAAACTTGATGATGTTCTTGTTATTTGTTACTCTTCAAGATACTCTCGGCTGCACGTCATGTTTCGCATTATTTGTTACGATCAAGTTTTATCTGACGTATATGTTTAGAGCTGATAATTAAAGCGAGTTATTTGAGTTTGACTTATTTTGGGTTTGACTTGTTTTTTAAATGAGCATAACTCGACTCATTTATAGGTAAAATAATTAAATTATTCGGGCTCGTTTAGATTAAACAATTTTTTAAATTTGTTTAGTAAAACAGTAATGTTATGCTGACTAAATTTTGGGATCAAATTTAAAGTCTAAATGACATGATAGCATATTATTTTCATTCTTTATTTGTTCTTGCAAAACTCGCCTCAATTAGGAGCCTTACCCACGCTTAATAAATGTTGCATCCATATGAGGTTTGCTTTACTACTCCAAGTCCAAAAAAAGCATAGTTGAAACGATTTTTGGTACTTTAAAAAAAAGTTTTCATACTTTCCTTTTAGTGGGTTTGTATAAGCATCTGCATATGTCACTAAGAGTGACCTCTTTTGGATGATGACAATCCTTATATGTAATTAGTGGTCTCCCAGACAACGCATCCAGTTCTTGAGTACTGATTTATAGTTAAAATCTAATAGGCCATATGGTACATATCTTGAACATTCAGTAGATAGTATACATCTTGACCATTACTTAGGATTTGATCCAAAAAAAAGAAAAAAACATTACTTAGGATGGTACTTTAGCTAATGCCAAACCTCTTACATTAAGCATACTTCCTATATTATGCATCAGTCTCATGGGGATGTCTCTTTAGTCATCCACCCCTTTAAGGTTCCACTCTGCCTTGGGGTAGCCATTTTGCTGGCTGTAGGAATTCTGATGGTAAAATGGGAAGCGTTCACGCTCGTTACCCCAACTTGAGTACTCATATTTCATTGCCTCTATTCCCATGGGAACATGCTGCGCATAGTTTGGGTACGTTCCCATGGGAACATGTTGTGCATAGTTTGCCGTGTACCCAGTGATCCCCGTGGTGTTGCTGTGTTTGCCACCGGAGGAATCATAACCGTCGTTGCTGTTATAAGGCAACATCTGGCCCTGTGAGCCATGGCTGTAGTAGAAGTCAGTTGTGTCGTGCATGCCATTTTGGGGCCTTTTTTCGCCATACCAGTCATGATGCTGCTGAGCATAGCCTCCACCAGCTACCATTTGGTGGCTGGGGTACTTAGGGGTGGGGGCACTTGGGTTGGTCATCACCGGCATGCCCAGAAGAGGGGTGCTGTAGTAGTCATTGGTGGAGTAGTACCCCTGCGGTTGCACAGAATAGCCCTGCTGTGGGAAAGGGTAACCGGGATAGACCTCAGATTGGAGAACCATTTTTCTTTGATGTTTTTGGACTGTGATTTTCTTCGAGTTTCGAAATGCTATTTATAGAACTACCTTTTGTGATTCCAAGTCGATAGGAATGCATCTCATTCCCCTACTATATTCCCGGCCACGTCGAAAATTCTGCACTTCTGGCGATATCAATGGAATCAATTCAAAAGGAAAAGTTATCTCCCCTTTATTACCACTTGCAAGAAATCTGAACTGATGATCTTTAAGACCGAATCACAGTCAATAAAATGATCATGACAACGTTATCTTCACAATTTAAAGACATGACATTACTTCACTTAGTACTACCTCAAACAACCCTCAAATGGCATATAATCCATGGAACTTGACGGCGTTCTTGTTATATTTTGCTCTCCAAGATTATCTCGGCTGCACGTCATGATTTCATGTCGTCTTGGATGCATGCAATCTGATAATGCACAAAACATGTTTATGCTCAACTTGTTAAGTATTGAATGCAATAATAAATGATAAGTGCCAATTACAAATAAAATACAATTTAAGTGATTCGGTCTAAGTGACCTACTCCACTGTCAAGGGTTAAGATGAGAGAGTCATTTATTACTCAAAGTGTAGAGTGCTCAAATATGAGTGAGATGTGAGAGATGTCCCCCTTGTGTAGGTGGAGCTTATAATTTATAGGCGCTTCATAACAGATTTTGGCACCCTACTCATAACAGGGGAGACAATATTGAGGAGGTGGTGACGTGCGTATCTTAAGGAGATGTCTTCGCATGTCAGTTGTAGACTGAGTCACTCGTCATACGACAGCTAAGCTGACTCTGTTTCAAAATAACGCAGTTGACTTGATCTACTTTTCTTCTTCTGTTGTGAACTTGACATGCATTTTTAAATTGGGTCTGATTTGTGATTCTGGACTTTATCTATAATTCTAAACCTAGTTTGGACCGGGCTATCATTTGCCCCCATGCCCCAAGCCCAATAGAATTTGGGGGAGAGGGCATTAGCAACGATAAACTCTTGCTCTTTACCTCAAATGGTATATAATTCATGAATTATATTTTACTCACCAAAATTATCTCGGCTGCATGTCATGATTTCAATTCCTCTTGGCTGCATACAATCAAGTTTCAGCTGATGCACGTGCTTAGTCAATGTTAAGTCCATTTAAGATTTGCTTTACAACTACGAGTCCAAAAGATGCATACTTGGAACGATTTTCGGGCTACTGCAAAAAAAACTTTTCGAACTTTCCTTTTAGTGGGTTTTTCAGAGCATCTGCATATGTGACCAAGAGTGACCTCTTTTGGATGATGACAATCCCCACGTCACAAGTAGTCTCCTAGACATTGAATCCAGTTCTTGAGTACTGATTTGTAGTTAAAATTTAGAGTAATTTTATTTGGACCTAAAAATTAAATTTAATTTAATTTGTTGACATAATGATATAAATTCAATAGAATCTTTAGATTAACACAAAATTTTAATGTTTGATGAATTTTATAATCAATCTAAATGTCATAGTATATTAGATTAATAAATTAAATTAATAAATTAAGTCTCAATAACAAAGTTACGCTGATCGACACTTTGGTGTTTTTAAACTGTACCCAATAGCTGTTGGAAAGGTAGAGGCAGACAAAGTTATCCAAGGTACCCCATTACTAAGGTAAAAAAAACTCAACAAGCCCGGAACCCCGGGCAACAAACGAATCATTAACCCCCAAAAGTGATAATTTAACTTAAAAAGGCGATATTTTCGTCTAAAAGAAATGATATTTTCAATTTAAAATTTGTATTTTCAACTAAAAAGTAATATTTTTATTCAAAAAATAGTAATTTTACCAAAAAATTGATATTTTTAACAAACAAGTGATAATCTAACCTTAAAAAAAAAATTCATTCAAAAAGTGATAATCTAACTCCAAAAGAGGTATTTTTCATCCAAAGAGTAAAAATTTCACTCAAAAAGTGATATTTTAGTACAAAAAAATTGTATTTTTACCCAAAAGTGGTAATTTATCCAAAAAGTTATATTTTCACGTAAAAATGGTATTTTATATCCAAAAGTAATAACTTAACAAAAAAAGTGGTATTTTTACCCAAGAAGTGGTAATTTAATCCAAAAAAATGCAATTTTCACCAAAAAATGATAATTTAACCCAAAAGTGGTATTTTCACCAAAAAAATAAAAATTTTCACCAAAAAGTGGTATTGTCACTCCAAAAAATAATATTTGCACAAAAAAAGTGGTAATTTAACTCAAAAAGTGATATTTTCACCTAAAAAAGGGTATTTTTGGCCAAAAATTGCAAAACTCAAAAATTGGTAATTAAACCATAAAAATGGTGTTTTTTCACCCAAAAAGTGATATTTTAGCACAAAAAGTGAAAATTTAAAGCAAAAAAAATGATATTTTTATCCAAAAAATAAAAAATTCACCCCAAAAGTAGTAATTTCACCCAAAAAAATAGTACTTTAACACATAAGTGGTAATTTAATCCTAAAAATGATCTTTTCTCCCAAAAAAGTGATAATTTGTAATATTTTCATCCAAAAAAGTGGTATTCTCACTCCAAAGTCATACTTTCACCCAAAAAACAATAATTTAAAGCCCAAAAGTGATAATTTAACCTTAAAGCGGTATTTTCACCTAAAATTTATAATCTTCACCCAAAAAAAAAAAGTTTTTTCACCAAAAAAATTGTAATTTAAACCCAAAAATGGTATTTTACTTTACTTAGTACAATCTCAATCAACTCTCAAATTGTATAACTCATGAAACTTGATGATGTTCTTCTTATTGGTTACTCTCCACGATACTCTCGGCTGCACATCATGTTTGGCATTATTTGTTACAATCAAGTTTTATTTGACATACATGCTTATGGTTGATAATTGAACTGAGTTATTTGAGTTCGATTTATTTTGGACTCAGCTTATATTTTAAATGAGCCAAAGCCTAGAGGCTCGACTCATTCATCAGTAAAATAGTTAAACTACTCGAACTCGTTTAAATTGAACAATTTTTTAAGCTCATTTAGTAAAATGAGTTGAATCAGTTCAATTGGTTCTCGCAAAGTTCGCCTCAATTATGAGCCTTATGCATGCTTAATAAATGTTGCGTCCATATGAGGTTTGCTTTACAACTCCGAGTCCAAAAAAAGCATAGTTGAAACGATTTTTGCTACTTTAAAAAAAGAGCAATGTTATATGAATTTAAAATCTAAACTTAATAAGTAAATTTGATAATTACCACTATTAATTTTACTGTGAGTCTCAGCATTTTTTGGGACTCATTACTTGTTCAATGATTGTAATTATTAAATCTAATTTTTAAGTCTAGCATTATTCTTTAAAAAAAAAAATTTCATACTTTCCTTTTAGTGGGTTTCTAAGAGCATCTGCATATGTCACTAAGAGTGACCTCTTTTGGATGAAGACAATCCTTATATGTAATTTGTGGTCTCCCCGACATTGCGTCCAGTTCTTGAGTACTGATTTATAGTTAAAATCTAATAGGCCATATGGTACATATCTTGAACATTCAGTATATAGTACACATCTTGAACATTACTTAGGATTTGATCCAAAAAAAAAAAAAACATTACTTAGGATGGTACTTTAGCTAATGCCAAACCCCTTACATTAAGCAGACTTCCTATATTATGCATCATTCTCATGGGGATGTCTCTTCAGTCATCCACCCCTTTAAGGTTCCACTCTGCCTCTATTCCCATGGGAACATGTTGCGCATAGTTTGGGTACGTTCCCATGGGAACATGTTGTGCATAGTTTGCCGTGTACCCAGTGTTCCCCGTGGTGTTGCTGTGTTTGCCACCGGAGGAAGCATAACCGTCGTTGCAGTTATAAGGCAACATCTGGCCCTGTGAGCCACGGCTGTAGTAGAAGTCAGTTGTGTTGTGCATGCCATTTTGGGGCCTGTTTTTGCCATACCAGTCATCATGCTGCTGAGCATAGCCTCCACCAGCTACCATGTGGTGGCTGGGGTACATAGGGGTGGTGGCAATTGGGTTGGTCATCACCGGCATGCCCAGAAGAGGGGTGCTGTAGTTGTCATTGGTGGAGTAGTACCCCTGCTGTTGCACAGAATAGCCCTGCTTTGGGTAAGGGTAACCGGGATAGACCTCAGATTGGAGAACCATTTTTCTTTGACGTTTTTGGACTGTGATATTCTTCGAGTTTCGAAATGCTATTTATAGAACTACCTTTTGTGATTCCAAGTCGATAGGAATGCATCTCATTCCCCTACTATATTCCCGGCCATGTCAAAAATTCTGCACTTCTGGCGATATCAATGGAAACCACAATCAATTCAAAAGGAAAAGTTATCTCCCCTTTGTTACCACTTGCAAGAAATCTGATCTGATGATCTTTAAGACCGAATCACAGTCAATACAATGATCATGACAACGTTATCTTCACAATTTAAAGACATGACATTACTTCACTTAGTACTATCTCAAACAACCCTCAAATGACATATAATCCATGGAACTTGATGATGTTCTTGTTATATTTTGCTCTCCAAGATTTATCTCGACTGCACGTAATGATTTCAAGTTGCCTTGGGTGCATACAATCTGATAATGCACAAAATGTGTTTATGCACCACTTGTTAAGTATTAAATGCAGTAATAATTATGAGAGTCAATCACAAGTAAAATATAATTTAAATGGTTCGGTCAAGGTGACCTACTTCACTGTCAAAGGTCAGGATGAACATAGTATTTTATTGCTCAAAGTGTAGAGTGCTCAGATATGAGTGAGATGTGAGAGATGTCCCCCTTATGTAGGTGGGGTTTATAATTTATAGACGCTTTATAACAAATTCTGGCGTCCTACTCATAACAGGTGAGACAAATTCGAGGAGGTGGTGACGTGCGCATCCTAAGGAGATCTTTTCGCATATCAGTTATAGACTGACTGAGTCACTTGTCATACGACGGCTGAACTGACTCTCTCTCAAGATAGCGCGGTTGACCTGACCTAGTTTCCTCCTTCCTGTGGTGGACTTGACA